ATTCCCTGTAAACTGCTGCTAAAAATGGCTCAGATGAGCAGGGAAACGAAAATTTCTTAACTACAACGCTATCCACTGCTGCTTCAGCCGAGGATGTTAGGTTTTTGTGGTGTTAACAAATGGAGAAGGTATTATTGCTTATTTAAAATACCTTCAGGAGAGCCATAGAAACTCATTTCCAGTTCTTTGTGGAGTGTTATCCAATAAAGATTCAGGAGGAACTACAAGTGTGGATTAATCTGACATTGGCATCATACCTCGCCAGGAGGAGTAGGGGAGTGTTGGATTCCTTGAAAGGACCCTCCTGGCAGTCTGGGTACTTTCTCCATCATTTTTTGCTTGCTTCTTTTGTGATCACCTCCATGTCTCAGAAGGCATACCAATATACATTACTGGATGCAACTGGTTGTCCACAAGAAGCTGGCAGAATTCCTCCAACCCTTGCTCTGGCATATACCGGTGAACAGATCCACCCACCGGCAGGCTGGGTTTTCCATCCTCCTCAAAGTGTCGGGACTGAAACCAGGCTGCAGCCTGGCTCCAGGAACCCTGCTGAGCGAGCAACAAACAGGGAAAACGGGAGTGAAAAAACAAAACTCTCTCAGATGTTCAGGTAGGAATTCTCTACTGGCTATTTCTATGCCGAGGCGTCGCCCCTGCGTTCTCGCTCCGGCTGCCGGCCCAGAGAGCGGGAAGAGGCTCCGCACCAGCTGCTTCCTCCGCGACAGCCCGGCCCGAGGGCGAGCCCCGCATCCCGGCCCGAGGGCGAGCCCCGCATCCCGGCCCCGCTAGGGCGGCAGGCGCCGCCGGGACACCGCCCGTGCCCCGCTGCTCCGCAGCCGGACTGCTTGGGCTGGACTGCCGGGCTGCCCGCGCTTGGACAGAGGGACGCGCTGCTGCTTCCGCCCTCTCCTCAAACACCACCAGCTGGAGCCGCCTTCTCCCCCCGCCCCTCCAAAAAGCAGCGGCTGGGCTGGGGAGCTCGCCCCGCTCTGCGCCCCGCGTGGGCGATGCCAACTTTTGGCAGAACTCACGGGGAGCCGCCCCTGGTGCCGCCCCGGCGCTCCCGAGCGCTGTGGGGAGTGAGGGGCAGATGTCCGGGGGCTGTCCCCGAGCCAAGACACTGCCGTGCCCCGAGCCGTCCCCGTGCCCCGCACTGCCTCCCTTTCCCGGGATACTCCGAGCCCCGCGCTCTCCGTTTCCCGGGATACCTCGGTGCCGCGGGCTGTTTCCCTTTCCCGGGATACTCCGAGCCGCGGGCTGTCTCCGCCCCGGAAGGCGGCGGCCGCGCCAATCGCCGGGGCTGTTGCTGGGCGGTGCGGGTGACATTGGGCACGGCCATGGTGGTGGCGGCGCTGGGCCGAGCGGCGGGCCGGCTGCAGCGGCACGGCCGGTTCCCTTCCCTTGGCGGGCGGGCCGGGGCCGGCGGGGCCCGGAGTGAGGCGCGGCCGTGCTGTGTTGCAGCGCGGGCGGCGGGGTGCACATCCCGCCGCGGTACCGGCAGTTCCCGGAGCTGACGCGGGCGCAGGTGATCCGAGGCGAGCTGCTCAGCGGCTTCATGTGGTTCTGGATCCTCTGGCAGTTCTGGCACAACTCGGACATGGTGCTGGTGAGGCCGGCGCGGCGGCCGAGGGCGGGGGGTGCGGGCCGGGCCCCGGCCGCGCTCTGACGGGCCTCTCTCCCAGGGACACTTCCCGTATCCCGACGCTTCGGCCTGGACGGACGAGGAGCTCGGCATCCCTCCGGACGATGAGGAATAGCAGCACACCGGTACGGCTCCCGTCGCCTCTCCCCGCTCGGCCCTGCGGGGCTGGTACCGCAGCCTCTGCGGCACAGGAGGCAGTGTCTGCACTGCTCAGTGCCTTCACACACGGCTGCCTGAGACCAGGTAGCCCAGTTTTAGCAATATAAGCCTGCACTGTAACAACCGACTTTGTTAGGAGTTGCAGCTTACTTGGTAATGGCTCTAGATTATTTTATTCATGCTGTTGTGTAGACCCAGCATCATCTAACTTCAAAGACATGCTCTGTTTCTAGACGTCTGTCCAGATGTCCCCTTAAACGTTTGAGGCTTGTATTTGTTTCCAGTTCTTTAATTACTGAGTCTTTTTTAAGCTCTTGGGTCACACATTACAGCTCTAAACCAAAGGTTCAGCTACTGCTGAAGGCAGCAGTGAGGAGGTCCTTCTGCTCTGCGTGGTGGGAAAACTATGAGCAAAGAGGTTCTCAGGCTTTTCTTCTGTTATTTTCAGGTTCCTGGAACTAACTGAGGCTCCCGAAACCAAACCTTGGTCTCCTGGGTCCTTTTGTGAATAAATCTGTAAACAAAGTCTAAGGTGAACTGTATTTTTTTTTTCCTATTTTAAATAGAATTCTTGAAAAATTACCATGACAACTTTAAAGTTGTAGTACTTGAGTACACATGAGCTTTTGTAATGCCTGCTTGATAGAGAATGTGCTTGCCCCAAGAAATAGGGTACATGAGTGCAGGGCAGTTAACAGTCTTGTCAATAAGGCTCTGCCAAATAACCAATGAAGAGGTGAGGGGAAATTGCCATAGAAGCAGGATAATTTACCCAGAAGAGAACCCAGACCAGTTGGTGCCAGGCTTTTCCCAGGATGAAGAAAAACACCCCTTGGGTATATAAAAGTTCAGAACAGTAAAGGTAAAAACGCCTTAGGGCTCAGCACAGCAGTCATGGAGGCAGTGATCTGGCTTAAGAAGATGAAGGGAGGGGGGTTACACTGCAGGAGTCCTTGATTTTATTTTTTTCTTCTCCCCTTTCAGAGTTATATCCTAAAGTAACCTTTCCACTCCCCTTCACCACCTGAGTTGCACCCCTCCAACTTCGTGGAGAGGAGTCATGCATGACACAATAAACAATCTCCTTCAGACTTTTCCATGCAGTCAATCTTTATTATAGCAGTATTCTCATATTCACATCAAGTACATAGAACTTTTTGCCTTTCATATAATACAGAGTTCTTTAAATAACTTTACACTGAAATAGTTTTCTTCAATCTGAATTCAGCTATCAAATTTTAATATGTTTTAAGTCTCCATGCTCTCTAACCAAACTGGACAATATTTCCCATTGTACAAATTTACATGAGAAAAACTCCAAAGTACAAATGAAGGGACAACAAAAGTAAAGGGAGAAGGAACAAACAAGAAAAATAAGTTGTATTGGCAATTACAGGGGAAACTTCAGAAGGAACAAAGGGGAGTTGCCATGACCTACCTAACAGGAAACCAAAAATAAACATTTTGTTATGAATTAAAAAATAAATACAAGTTTCGAAACAATTACTCCATTGTAGATTTTGAAAAGCAGCTATGGAAATCTATTAACACAATGGGTTGGTTTTTTTTTTTAAGTAACCAGACTGGACCTTCTACTTTGCAGTCATAAGCCCCTTGCAAACCTCTGGTGGTCAATAAAAAAAAAAAAAAAAAGGAATACAGCTGATAGGAATGTGTTAGCACAGAGTTTAAAGTGGTGGGACATACATTTCATTGCACTAAGGAACAAACAAACAAAAGAAATCAAATCTGTATATAAATTTCCCTTTCCTCTCCTCACTATGTACTTTGCCTCTCATAAACAAGCCTCTGTATTATGAGGTAATGCCATTATCTTGACTATATATAAAAATAATAAAGTTTAAAGGATATAGATCTGGGTATCTATAAACTTTAAATAAGCCAGTCCTCTCTTACTCCCCCAGAGGGTCCAGCCAGTGAGTACTACCCCTTCTGTCACTGCTCAATGCATGGCGCTCTCCTGGGAATCCCAGGAGACCTGTGCCCCTTTCCTGACCTAGGAAAAGCAGCCTGTGCTCAAGTAAGAAAGAGAAAGTGCAAGTAATGCACAACAGGTTACACACACCTACACCTGCTCCTGCAAAACAAGGCAGAGTCACAGAAGGCAACAGTGGCCAGCCTGCATGTGTGTGTGGGGGCAAGGAAAGGGGATCCCATCAGGCAGCTGATGGCTGATTCCTTTTTCCATTGCTCGAGAGCCTTCACTGCACCCACAGGGAGGGCGGGAGGAGGGTTCCACCTGGAGAATGGAGGGCCAGGAGGAACGCTGCATTTGGAGTCAGGATGACACAGAGCCGATGGGCTGGCTCCTGCATCCCAGGTAGTGACAGATCCTGCTCTAGAGGCACAGGGCAGTACTGGAGCCCAAGAAGATTTCAAGAGAGGAAGAGAAGTAGGGGGCAGGACTTTCCCCAATCCCATCAATGAGATCAGAACAGCAATGTTAATTTGGGTTGCCAACACATGCAAGTTGGCCACTGTCAGGTTTCTGTCCGTTGAGAACTGTGGAGAGGGAGAGGAAGGGGAGGCAGGTAGGACACAAGGCTCATGAAAGAATGATGTGCTTTTTTTTTTTTGGTTGACTTTTTTTTTTTTTCCTAAAGGTTCACAGCTTTGAATAAAAAAGCACATTTATTGCACTTACACTTTATTTTAGACAGAGTTAATTTAAATTATGCCCTCACAACCCCCCACCATCCCCAAATAACCCAACACCCAAGTTTGGTCCATTTTCCCCCCTAGATCCAACATCCATGCCCAGATGATGGGCTTCATTTCTTCTCCTAATATTCCACTGAACTCTCAAACACACAGATGGATTTTCTCTTCAACAAGGGTGAATAGACAAATGCAACACAGAATGACACTTATCAAAACAAAACCTGACCATCTTCCAAACCCAAATAAACAAAAAAAGAAAACAAACTTATTTTTGTGGTTTACTTGCTCAAAAGTAAATATCACACTAGGCTTATTCTAAAGTACAACTGCTGCAAATATGACGAACTAGACAAAATGACTGGACAGGCCACTGTTGGCTCTGGAGGAGGCTGGGTGAGCTAAACACACTGCTGCTGGATGCTGTGAAGCAAATACTAGGTAGTTTAGAAGTTCCAAAAGCAAAACCCAAAAAATCCACAACTCCCCCCTGCCCCCAAAACCTAAAACCACACAAAAATAACCATCACATGTACTTTTAGTGCAGAATTTGGGGTAGGTAGAAGGATTCCAGATAGCTCCTGGAACATAAGTAAAACATTTTTACACTTTGTTTTCTAGAAGGAACAAACCCAAATTAAAACTGGTTTGATAGCTCATAAGAACTGTGCATTTAGACAACTTTGTAAGTTACAATTATGCCAAAAGTCCTACCCCAAGGAAGAAAAGGAAAAGATCTGAGAAAGCATTAATAGCCAAACCCATTATTTTGTCCTTCATGGACAAGTAGGTTAAATATGACACTGATACGTAGGTACTGCCAGAAGTCTACGTAACCAGTTTGAAAGCTGAACAAATCAAATTCACACCTACTGGCTGTCCCTCAGCTGACAAGACACCTACATTTCCCACAGTTCATGTGCAATAACAGGATGTGAGCACTGGACAGCAACTGCAAGAGGCCCAGGGGAAGCAGTGAGGAAACCTGCTGACATTCTAGAAACAAAACTTACTGCATTTTCTGGGACAAGGAACTAATTGTATGGTCTGATACATGTGAACCTTGATTAGATGAATGCTAACCACCAGTTTCTCCTCATCTAGCTCTCATTCTCCATCTACCATCTTATTCCAAGGTGATAGAAGAGTGTAGCTTCGGGCCTCTCTGGAGCTTTCTTTAACAAGATCTGTGTGTCTTTGGAAGGGAAGGAGGGCTTACTTGTTTTTAAGTTAAATGAGCCTCACTACCTGTTGATAGTGCAGATTTCCAGCAGCAGGATTACTGTAACTAAATTCGGTATCCTTCAATTCTTAGCTTTGAAATGCTAACAGGTGTTTTGGGGAATGCTCTCTGCCCTCCTTGCTCCTTTACAGGAGCTGACCAACTCCAAACTACCTACCTACAGGGATAGCTATATACAAAACTACTGCAGCAGATGTAAACCAAAGACACTGCTCTAGTTACAAAGCACCCAGCTTACATTCTGTTGTACTTCTTAAGGTTGCAAAGGCACATGATCATTTGGCAAACTACAAAAACTGTTTTGGGGGATCCCTATGTAAACCATCGAACAGAGGGTCTTGGTAGCTCTCTTTTCTAAAAAGAGAGAAGTTAAGTTTGCATCTGAATTCACTCTTGGTGTAGCCTGTATTCTGCAGCTTTTAAAGCTTCCTCCTTCCACAGGTTCATAGTTACTACTGTCATGGTGCTGACTTAGTAGCTTCTGTGTTAGCATCCTTGAAACTCAAATGCAAACTTTTTCATTTTAACAATCTGGCTCTGCTCTTCTGATAATTTATAAGGTAAGAACCACAGTGTCATAGAATATGCTGAGTTGGAAGGGACCCACAAGGATCATCAAAGTCCAACTCCTGGCCCTGCACAGGTACCCCAAGAATCACCACATGTGCCTGAGAGCATTGTCCAAATGCTTCTTGAACTCTGTCAGGCTTGGTGCTGTGACCACTGCCCTGTTCCAGTGTCTGACCACCTCCTGGATGAAGAACCTTTTCCTGATATTCAACCTAAACATCCCCTCACGCAACTTTAGGCCATTCCCTTAGGTCCTGTCATTGGTCACCACAGAAAAGAGATCAGTGCCTGCCCCTCCTCCTCCCCTCATGAGGAAGCTGTAACTGCAGTGAGTTTCCCCTCGGTCTCCTGCAGGCTAAGCACACCACGAGACCTCAGTTGCTCCTCATATGGCTTCCCCTCCACCATCCTCATGGCCCTCCTCTGGACACTCTCTAACAGTTCATTAGTAATAGTCTAATAGGAATAGTCTTTCTTACACTGTGGCATCCCAGCACTCGAGGCGAGGCCGAGGTCCCAGCCCAGAGCAGGACAATCTCCTCCCTTGCCCACCTGGCCATGCTGTGCCTGTGCCCCCAGGACAGGTTGGCCCTCCTGGCTGCCAGGGCACTGCTGGCTTGTGTTCAACTTGCCATCAACCAGGACTCCCAGGTCCCTTTGTGCTCCAACCTCTCATCCCCCAGTCTATACACACAGCCAGGGTTATCCACCTCAGGTGCAGAATCCAGTACTTGCCCCGGCTAAACATCATATGGTGGGTATGAAGTTGGTATGAAGTAATGAAGCAGTGAAGACAAGTCTTTCAAATGCATGCCAAAACAAACATCAAGTGCAAATGCACAGTAACAAGGCTGCAGTAAACAAAGTTTGTTTCATAAACTTCTACGTAAAATGCATCACAGAAACCAGAACACTCAGCACCTTCAGAATGATGCCCAAGAGGCCACTCATGCAGCTGCCTTTTAACTTGACTGTACTTAGAAGCTTTGCCTGTCCCACTGTGCTACTGGTGATACACTTTATCAACAGAGGACGTGTCTACAGTACTATGAAGAATTTGTGCTACAAATGCTGCACTCACAGTCAAGAAGGGAATGAATTCTAGAGGCTGCAGAAGCGTGAAATGTCTACATGCTTCTTCCCTAAATTTAGTCCCTGCAGATATCAAAGCTTCAATCCGTACTTGTTTGTGAGGTATCTGGGGATCTGGCTTCCCTCAGCCTTCTGTAGAATGCTGGATACATTTACACACGCAGGCAAACACAGAAGAAAAACTATTTATGTGTGATCTCTGGGGTACTTTTCCCCCAGTCTGGGCATTTATGGAAAGACATGGTATTTATCAACAATCACAATTTCATTCATTTTATGTTACAAAGGCCAAATTCTGCCTCCAAGGAGCACATACTAACCCAAGTGATGCTAAGACACCATAGTAAAATGACAGTATTTGTTCTCAAACATTCTGCATCATTATCAGCTGCTAGAGCATTCAAGTACAAGAAAAGATGATTTTGGGTAAGCATAAAAAGCAGAAGTGGATTCATCTAATGACCTGCATGAGTTCAGGAAAAAAAAAAAAGAAATGACTGGGCTAATTGTATCTGGGGCTATGTAGGCTTAATTGACACAGCAATTACTTTCAAAGTAACCTGGCTTCTATATCCCTGCCATTTGGTTTGAGCTCCACCACAATGCTGCAGTTCTGGCAAATATGCCAGGGGAAACAATCACATACTCAGCAGGAAGGTTTAGCAGGTAACAGACCTCTGTCACCTGTATGGAAAAGGAAAGGCGGAGGGGAAGGTCTGTGCCTGGTTGAAAAAGATATGAATAGCTGGGACTGGATACTGGTATTTTTGCAAATGATTAGGAATACAAGATACTATAGAGCTAAAAGAAGCAGAATGACTCTCTGGGTGTTTGTCCCAACATGTGCACATGAAGGGTGTACTCACATTTCCATACTATGGCATGTGCCCGTGGCTGGGACACCACGAAGGAGCTTAAGGAGTTTAGGGTAACATGCATGAATGTATTGGTCATTTCAGCTTACTTCCTTCATCCCACTGTTACAGAGAGCACTCCTTTCTCATCTATTCTTGAGTCCCCATTCACTAAATAGCTACAGGGCATCTTTAAGACTGGCTCTGATGGCATGCAAGACATCCAGAAAAACTCCTGAAGTAAAAGATAAAACCAAAAATAATCCCAATTATTTACAAACTACATTTCTTTCAAAGTTTTGCATGAGCATTACCTGGGAACTCTTACAGACAAACACACATTACTACAGCTATCTGGAGGGAAACAAACAAGAAAACCAGTAGAAATGCATCCTGAAAGGACTTCTCTAAACAGCAGCCAAACAACTTGCACATTCCTCAGGGAAAAAAACAACCAAAACCAGAAACAAAAAAAGAAAAACAAAACTACAAACAAACCCCAGTAAAAAAAAAAACCAAGAGATCATGTGTTACTTATAAAGTGCTTTGCATGGACAAGGATAGCAATTTTCCTTGTGCTTTTCCTATGGGCTCAAGAAGCATATTGTAGACTAATGGGTAATGAATCTTCACCAAAGTAAGTTCTTTTTAAGCAAAGATAGAATGAAGTTCCTAACAGAGAATTTTCTGCCAGCATGACTTTATGGAAGGAAACGAGAGATTTTAACAAGCTCTGTGAAACAAATGAGTGTTGAACCACCTGTCCATACTTGCTCTGTTAACAGCTTCTTTTGAGAGAACCTTGACCTCAGTATCCCTGACATGTACAAATAGGGCCACAGCCCATAAAGGGGCTGGAGCCAGTCACAGGGTGAAAGGAGAAGCAGGGACTCCTTTCCCCCTGGGAGCCTGTATCTGGTAAGTGCTCTCACCTGCCTGCTGCCACCGTGGCCCCAGGCTCCCTCCACCTCTCAGGTACTGGCCTCAGATGATCACCAGGGAGCACTCCATCTGCTACCACTGCTCTGCACAGCTTCTCCACACTGGAAAGTGGCTATTGCTACTTTTAAAATTTCTGCTAACCTCATTAAGGTAAAAACCTTACAGCATCTGAAGACCCACAGCAGACAAGAAAAAAATTTGTGCTTTTTTTTCCTTCGTTTTTAAAATGTGTCCCATACACAAAATCAATTCTGTTCATGTTTCAACATGAATCACTTCATTCTTGTAGTGACTATTAAGTCATTTACTATTGCTATCTTGCTAATATTTGTGGAATTAATATGAATACACAGTATTTCAGTTTTAATTCCCACTTCAGATCAGTCCGGTCCCTATAGCCCCAGTAAATATTTACTGACAAACGTAACAGACTACCAGCAACACAGCAAAATTGCAGGTTATTAAAAACACCTTCTACTTCCAATGTGCTTCTCTCCCTTCATCTGGGAGCAACCTTCTGCAGGCAGGAACAGTCCCCTTTCCCTAGGGAGGGAAGGACAGCACCCTCACTCGGTATATCCACGTTTAGCATGGACACCACATTCACACACATTTAACTCCTTCATTTATTTGTCATGATTTTGTTAAAAACTCCCCACCTCCTCCCAGCAAGAACCTCTCTGCTAGAGAGGGGTCAGTTCTCCTGCCTCCTCTGGAGTGGCACAGGGCTGATATGAATCAAATTCTGGAAACTTCTGTCTGAGCTTGAGTTTCTTTCCAATGTGGTCTGCCTTGCCTTTGTACAAACAATTTACAGGTAATACCACATACCAGAGAACTCTGCAAGCAGATCACATCGCGACATATACTGCTAGAGGTAAATGAATTGCAGAATTCTATGAGTTGTTGTTTTCCCTGACTGGGTAACTTTTCAAAAAGCTACTAACCATTTGAAAACCAGGACTGGAGGACAGGAAAACAAAGCACTCTAATGGAGACACCGCCACCTTTGTCCTAGTTTGCAAAGTGTACAGAAGGGAAAGACAAGCAGAAGGGAAGAGATGACAGGGAGGAAAGCAATGAGAGGAGGAGTAGTCAGCGTGGATCCAGCAAGTACCGTTTTGTTTTGATCTAACAACTTGCCATTAGGACAAGATGCTCCACATTTACACACACACTTATCAGAGGACGTTTAGTTAACAGGATAAAAATCCTTTAAAAAAAGCTCTTGAAAGTACCAAAACATAATTTTTGGAATGTCTAATTCTAGGGGGGGATTGTATTTGAATTCAATTCAACCTGAGAACTTTTTTCCTCATTTATGAAAACATTACATATTGGTAAGGTACCTGGCATTAACCTGCACCCTCGTTTAAAATAAAACTTTTAAAGTAGGTACATACACCATTCACAGTCTGTATCAGGATTTCTACAGACTTTAGATGCTGCAGTAGCATCTTTGATAAATACATTGTATCACATGATACAAAAAAAATAAAAGAGGACAATCTTGCTACATTTTTTTTAAACTTCAGTTTGTTGCTGGACCAACAAAAGAAGGATCAACCTAATCCTTCAAAAAGATGTTGTGTATGCACACACCAAGAAAATACTGGAAAAGGAAAAAGGTTAAAGATGGTGGTTGTTGTTTGTTCTTTTTAAGATGTGGTAAAGTAAATCTGAAAAAAAGGTGTGGCAGCATCCCCTTTTCCTTCAGATGAACCTCTCTGCCTTCAGAATAACATCTCCAGCTCCCACTGCCCCACACTTTTAATTTTAAAGGAATAAACCCCAGCAATACAGACAGATTGAGGTGTTTGACACTGTAATACAGCGAAAAGGGGATACTGCGTTGTCTGTAAATCAGTAAGTACACCAGGAAAAAAAAAGGATCAGAATGGAAAATGATTCTTTGAAATTAGCACTCATCAGACGTTCAGCCTCTGATGGTTACGCTGTTAGAGGGAGAAAGGCGGCCGGCAGCCCATCCAAAGCAAGTCTCCTAAGGTCAGCAGCAGCAGCAGCTCCGTCCCCTCGCGCCCGAGCACCACAGGCACACCATGAGCCCTCTCCTCTCTGCTGGGAGTGATGCCAACGGCACAGGCAGCCACTGCAGATCTCCGAATGCACGTGGTGGTTTGTGTTGAAGGAGAAACACTGGCAGCAGAGGACTCTGGTTCCCAAAAAGGTACTTTTTCCCATTGTGTTGGACTGGTGGTTCCATTCTGCTCCACTTTTAAGCTTATGGATATCTTTTCTAAATTACTTTAGGTTTTGCGGAGCAGAATGGAGCTCTGATGTTAAGAAACTGTAGGAACACAAGACTTAAATAACAGAGTGGGTGCTGCCATGGTGCTGTGGCTACTTGAACGCTGCAAATTCTCCTGTAGAGGGAGGACAAGAGCTTGGTTTAAAAAGGTGATTTCAGTTACGAAAGTAGTTGAACATCAGGTTGAATATAAAAGATGTTAAAAAATGCAAACTGTTAAAATTAAAGCACAAGAGAACACATGGTGAAAGAACATTCAATATAGACCTAGCATATTTAACCAACAAAGGATTTCTTGAAAGCAAGCTGTACCCATTCTTCCCAAGAAGGTGAAAGTTCAAGCAAAGTCTAATTCATCATGCATTTGAAAATTAAATATGTCAGCTTAATTCTACTTTAAAATTCCTTATTGCACATATGTCCTCCTGAGAAGCACCAGTTTCAATAAATGCATCCAACTGCAAACCAGTTCTGCTCTGTAGTAAAACTAATTTAATAACAAAGAACTTTATGAGACATCCATTACCCTTTAAAGACTATATACAGTAAAGTGCCTGAATGGAAAACCAGTGTTATAGAGTGCTAGGATTTGGTTTAGAGACCAACATAGCAACCCACTGACAGAAATATAAGAATGGAGAGATTGTCTACTCAATCCCAGACTGGAAATTTGGTCTCACTAAGAGGAAGCATAACAAATAAAGCAACTCCATGCTTCCTTCAGAATTACTGAATAAAGAATAATTATATGCAGTGCTTTCACATGTGATGATGTCCTGAAATCCTACATAATTTATTTAGTGTCACTGTGCTGCGAGACAGACTCGTAGTCCCACTTCTGAGGAGATGCAACTATGGCACAGCGTAAAATTGCTGTCTGAAGTCTTTCAGGAGTTTGACAAACGACTGAATAGAAGCGGAATCTAAGATATTAATTCTCTTAATCATATACTCTTGCAAAAAGAAAAAAATTCCCTGCCACCCACAAAGAAATTGTATTCTACAGGATTTTTAGTGAGAGGTGTCTAAGTAAGCATAATCAAAAGGACTCAGAAGAGAGAAGAAACATACTTATAACTTCCCCATGTTGGATTTCATATGCATTTTGGGTTAGTTTATGCCACTTTCTTGACAGCACTTCTCAGAGCTTCCCTAATACTGAAGGAGTGATAAGCAGGCACAAGAGAGCCTTTGTTCTGTTCAACAGAAGGGTTTTGAATGCCATTACATTCAAACAACTGCTCCCTATCTGGTGTCCTTCCATCTTTTCAAGAGTGATTGTATTGTTTGCTTTGTTTTTTCTCAAGATTCTTATTCTGAATACTGGAAACAAAACAGAAACATCCCTGCAAACAAAATGACAGGCTTAAAGTGTTAATTCTGTGGAATGTCTTGCTCTCCAAAGAGTAGAACCAAGAAGAGTAGTCAGCTGTCTGCACTAGGAGAAGGAAGAAAAGGCATCTAAAAGGCCTGTGAGGAACAGCTGACCCAGTTCTAAGGCAGCTTGAAGAAAGCAGGAAAAGGGCTCGGTGCCTTATAAGAAATGAGAAGGGAGTACACCTGAAGTGCAAAGTAAGAGTGGCACAGGGAGTTGTGACAGGCCTCAGGCTCTGTGTGTCTTTACAGACTGTGGTGGCAGGCTTAAGTTACAACAATAGAATAAAAGCTTCATGATGGATCTAATTGCCTAATTTACTAGTTCTACCACCAGATGAAACTCTTGCTCTAAATACTCTAAATATTGGATAATTTTTCTTGCCTTTTTTTTTGCTACATTTCACTGACTTCCCAACTCTCTTCACAGTATCTTCTAGAAACACCTCAAGTTTTGTACATATTTTCTTTGAAGAGAAGGACAAAAAGTGACCAAATATTGCCTGTGAGGTCAATTACTAAGTGACATTTATGCTTAGCTACACTTACAAAACATGCTCTATTTAATTTATTTTTCAGTCTGCCTTTCTAAACTGGTGATTAAAGATAAATTTATAAAAAAGAGATTGCTCCCTCATTACTCACCTTGTCTTTCTGCCTACTTCTGGTAATAATTCAGATTTTAAGAGTCATATAGGGACTTTCAAGGAAAAAAAAAAAAGAACCTTTAGTTGGGAAAGAACAATAGAAAAACAGGACCAGAAGTAAAGACTTCTTTGAGACAGAATGATAGCTTTAAAAAGGTAATTTTCAGACTTTCCTGCCATTTAAACAAAACCTTAGCAACCATATTTTGTTTGACAAGCTAATGCTAAATCTCCCCTTTCAAAATTCCAGTGTTAATCTGATTTCAAATCAATAGGAGACCAAAATAGGTAACATGGTCATCTAATAAGGGGATTATGTTGGCTGAACATGTGTAAAATGAAATTGCCAGTAACAGCTTTCCCTAGGTGAGGTATGTACATGGCTATACCTATCCCCACCAAGCTATGAAGCCACATGCCTAGCAACTTCCTATCAGAAAGATCCCCAGATATTTATATTCATTGTGAGCCAGACATCTGAGGTGTATTTTATCAAGCACAACTGCAGATATTTGCTTTGACTGGTAGCAAAGCAATTTCTTTCCAAAGGATGGATAGCATCTGACAATATACTTCTTACAAACCCCTTTCAAATCAACTACTACAGTCTTTTCATGCTTGTCTCATGCAGAGTAAGTGGAAACTATTTTAAATGCACACTTTCAAAAAATCTGTACTAAAAAGATGGTCAAGGTCTTTCATGTTGCCTCCAAACAATGTATTACAAGAGTTCACTCATGTTCTGAGTGAACCTGCTGCCCCCAGTTCCTGGAAGGATTTAAGATGCAGCTACCATTCTGTACTCCCACAAATTTGTAAGCTACCTGAATTCATGGGGTTACTAAGGTGTACACACGTCATCTTAACTGTACTCCTTATCCTGGGGTAGATGCCATATTTCTCAGAAGAATCATAAGGAGAACAATGGTTCCTTTCCAGGCTGTGCCAGCCTTACCTACTGAACTAGAAATTGACTGATTTATCATAGGCAAACACCAGATTCCAACACCATGTCTGGTTTATATTCACAGACACATTAAAAAAAAAAAAAAGGAGGTAGTTTTCTGTTGGATCTTGTGCTGATCTTTTGTATGGATACTACCCACTGGGTAAGTAAAAATTTGGAACATGTTGAAGGTACCAAGACAGATTTTGTTTCTGTATTGATATGTAAGGAAGTAAAATAAAAAGGAATCTCACCTAGTATAAATTACTTCTCCAGAAAAACCTAGGATCCTACAGGCATGTTTTCTGAACCAACAGATATATGTTTCTAAACAATATAGCTGAGTTACACCTTTGAGAACTCTGACCCAAATCCACAAGTGTAGTTAGGCACCTTCATCCCACAGATACTCCCAAATCTCATTGAAGCACCAATTAGCACTTAGAGAAATGAGACCTCTAAATACCTCTCTGTCAGATAAAGTTAATGATCCACAAAACAGCCTCCTTTTAGGCTTCATAAAATGTTTAGTGAGAAGCTAAAATCACATTATGGCCATGGAACCCAAAATGCTCAGTAAGAACAGGTGACACAGGAAGAATGCACTGACCATACAGCAGGAAATGGGGCCGAATGTGTCTAAGGAGGGCAGCATTTCCCTCCCATAACTGCAGCTCTGATAGCACAGATGAACAGTCTTAACAACAAGAAGGATAACACTACTCCAAGGAATAAGTGGTTTGAACTGATCTGGCAGACCTGAACAAGAATAAGCCTGGGCAGGGCAATGGGGATGGTTCTGCACTCTCTGCAACTCCCTGTGTGGGATGCCCCATTTCTAGATTCTGCAGGAGACCCAGGAGCATCCTCTTGCTCTGTCCTGAATACACCCCACAGCTTTGGAAACATTGCTCATCACTGCTAAAACAGATAAATTAAATAAAGAATGAAAGAGGAAAACAACACTTCAGTCGTATATTCACTTTAAGATAAGCCTGCCAAAATGAGGTGAAGCTACCAGGAAGATGGGAAACAGATTTTCTAAAACAGTAACAATTTTGTCCTCTGTAACTATTTCCATAGAGAGAGATTTCAACAGCTAAATTTTCTTGACAAAGAAAAGGAGAAAAGTTAGTTCTCAAACTATTCCAACAGCAGAAGCCAAAAAGACCATTATAATCCATCCAGAAAATATAAAAATTGCCTATATCTCTTCAAGCTCCCTAAATCTGCTTCCCATTTTAAAAGGCTCAGTTGCCAGACAGCAGTAAACCAAAACATTTTGGAATTCCTGATCTATTTCAAAAATGTATTGCTAGCCACAGGCAACCTTCTCCATGAGTATACAGATCAGAAGCCACTAGGAACACCCCTGGCCCTTGAAGTCATAACAAGAGCAGTGGCAGCATGTTTCCAATGCAAAGTAATCTGTGAAAATTAACAGTTCAGCAGTTTAAACCATGTAAAACCACATAACTCATCTCAAAACATACAAGAACACTGTCTGTACATATTTTTTTCATATCTGACATTAAAGATTGATATAACCTAAACCCACTACTCTGATGCACTTGTTCTAGAGCAACACTCTAGAGAAAACCACAGTCTCTAAAGTGAGAAGGATTTTGGTAAGGTGTCTAACTTTCTCAGTTAGATATCTATTCCAACTGATTCATTTCTGCCTAGTCAAACTAGCAGCTTTTCCATGAAAGTGAAAAAATCAATTTGTCACTGAAGTGAAGCATGTTCAGTGTATTCTTAACAATATTAAAGTAATTAACACTTTTCATCTTAACAAAATTTGTAGTACAACACTGATTTGCATGAACAAAACTGCTTTTTCAAATCTTCTTTTCCTATTATGGGTGTTAGCAGCATTTGTCCTCTTAAAGCACTTGGTCATGGTTGAGATTTAAAATGTTTTTATAAATGCTGAAATCCATACTAATTGAAGGATACAGGCACCATTACCAGTAATTGCCTTGCAGCTTGGCAAAAGCACATTCAGAATTTCTTCTGTGTTGCATTGTAACAGACCACTTGGAGATGGTGTAAACTATATCAGGTCAGAATATTTAGAGAAAAATGTAACAAAAAAACCCATTCGCCATTCTTCTGTAGGAGAAATTTTCCCTAAACAGTACTAATTTAAACTTCCACTTTCAAGATAAGAGTCACATGTTATTCAGGGCTTTCTTTGGATTCTGTGCTATATCTGCTCACTTCTGCTGACCACAATAAAGTTTTGACTGTGCTCAACCTTGAAGCTAAGTTTATCTTTCCAAGTGTTTCCCATATGAACAGCCTAACTAAATGAAGAATCTAAAGCTTCTTGCTCAAATATAATGACCTTAAATGAAGTAAAAAAACCCACAAAACCCCCAAAACAACAGACAACCACAGCTTGAGTAGATTCAAATCAAATGTACTCCTGAGTAACTAATTCCAATCAATAAACTAGGCAAAAATGACACCCAATGACCTTAAGAAGATGTTTGCTTGTTTTGAAGTTGCTTTTCCCACGTCTCTTATGTGACATTACACTTGTTGTGCCAGCTGTTCCCAGGGCACTAGTTAGCAACACAGACTCTGTGCTGGGAACGGAACACTCAATGCCAGTGTTAGGAAGTGAGTGTTTGTTCCCTCAGTAAACCTTACGATCGGAGCTGGTAGGAACTGAGAACAAACACCTTGCACTCACAGGACACACCAGCACACAGACACACAGACACATGCTTTCACATTTTGGCTCAGTGCACTGGAAACCCACCGTATCCCCCTGCTTGGATGGGTGTTTTTGGAGAAGCACAAGCATATAGACTAAAATCCTCTGTCTGGAAGCCAGCCCGGTTCAATGAGGGCTCAGATGCACTGCGGTGAATTTTTGGCAATGACCGGGCCAGAAGCTCAATGGAGGCAAGAATCTAAAACATAGAAAATACATGGTCAAACCTCCTGTTCCAAAGCTGTGACTCTCAAAACTAAAGGCTCAATATCAATTAACTACAGAAAAATATTTAAACACATATTAAAAGAAGGATTTTTAAAATATAGTTTACTGCACTGCACTCTTAATTTTTATATCCTAAGGAAGCTGAAAAATGACAGCTGGGGAATTTTCCCCTTTTTAAAGGCACACTGATTGCCTCTATGCACAGTGAAAACACTTGCTTTTTATTGGACTCTTTGTCTATGCCCTAGTACCTGTACTTGCCATTGCTGCAAACAAACCCAGCTCTGTCAGCGTTTTCCTTAATAACATTTACCAAAAAGTCAGCAGGGGGAGCTCCTTATCCTTTGAAAATGATTTGGTTACATTCAAAACAGGAAAAAAAAAAAATTACATTTTTGCCTTCCTCCCCCTCAAGCTTTTTGAACCCAAACCTTCCTCAGCAGGCACGATAAAAATCAAGCTCTGTGGCAAAACTGTCTGTTTCCCATCATGAAGCTTGGGGGAGAGCAAGGAGGGCAGTGTAAACATTTCTAAGTACATATACCTGTGGCAAAACTGTCTGTTTCCCATCATGAAGCTTGGGGGAGAGCAAGGAAGGCAGTGTACTAAGTACTAATTTGTGTGTCTAACTGTAACTATTACTTTCATTATCTCCCAGCTGAAACTTTCTCCAGTATGTAAATACTTTTCCAAATACACAGGTAATTTTAATACCTGCGTTTTGAAATTAAAATGAGCATTTCTAACTAAACAGAACTAACCAGGTGCTGAACCAGGTCTCTTATGAAACCCTGCCATAGCACTAATCAAAAAAAAATTGGAACTGACCAGTGAGTTTACAGCTTTTAATTGTAAAGTCTGTTGAGAGCTAAAGAGAAGCATTTCTCACCTGTGGAAAAAGGGGTCTCTCATCTCTTTTCTTCTTTAAGCATTCTGCCATTAGTCTCTTCATAGCTTTGGGACAGTTGCTCCGTACTTTGCTAAGGTCTGGAGATAGGTATCCTCGTCCCACCATGAAAATTATCTTTATTTAAGGGGAAAAAAGATGAAAGAGGAAGACGCTGAATTGATAAAATAAACAGTCACAAAAGGTGAACATTTTGCTAGACTATTTTGGTTGCAGCAACAAGATATCTGCTCCCAGGAAACATTATCTGGTATTAAAATTGACATATTTCATAGAGCAAAGCTTGCTAACCTATTCAGTATAGAGAAAAAATTAGATCTTTCCTCCTCCTCAGAGATTTCTGTGGAACTTGAACACTAGTAAATGGTTACCATTTATAGCAATAACCATCTAAGGAACAGTTCTTCGGTGTCAAAAACTGACAAAAACAAGAACAAGCAACTCTGTGGCAGGAACAGAATGTCTAAAAATAAATATTCTGCAAAAAGAAATATTCCGTTTTATACTACAAATCAACAACAACTTCACATTGAAAGGTATTTTAAGAAACACATGGACTTTGGATATTAAAACCCTTTACCTTCTGAGAATTGATTCCGTCACATACTTTTCCAACACATAAGCTTATTCTTGACATCTGACCACCTCCCCCACTCTCACAAAAAAAAAAAAAAAAAAGCACCTCAAAAGAAAAACTCTGTCTTCTCTGTAGAAGAGGAGACAGGCTTGGTATTTTTACAGTAATTCTTTCAACATAGGAGGCTTATATTTCCCCTAAGGATAAAAGTTTAGCATAAAACCAAGTAAACTGATAGGAAGCAGGAAAACAAAACATAAATATTGTTAATCATCTCTTGTATATATAAAAAACCACCAAACATCATCATGTCAAGCCAAGGTCATTTGCAACGTGTTTGAGTACAGCAGTAGCACTAACACTAAAAAGCACTTCCAAACCAGCTAATCAAAGATCCATTCATGCTGCAGCAATAATCACTGAGAATTTTCTGAGAACTCAGACAACCCAGCAGGTTAATCACACCTTCTCTCTAATGAAGTGTAACTATTTCATGTCTCGACACTGGGGGGGGAAACACAACAGAAAACCCTCACATCTCAAGCATGCTATACATGTTATTTATACTAACACAGTCCTAGTCTCTTTTTAACTCTGCTTCAGTCACATCTGTGTTGGCATCACAGAAGAACAGAAAACTCCCATATGGTTCCTTTAGAAATCCGCATGTGCCAAGCAGGATTTTGTAGTAGACACTTGTGTAATGCATCCCTTACCTCTGCTGCAATCAGACTTCCCATTATCTAGCAGTTGGTATTTTCTAAATAATGGCACAAGTTGCAATTATTCAAAATTCATTACTCTTTTTGTTTCAAATAGTTTCTTTACAAATAATATAGGGGTTAATCTTTCATTTTAGACTAGAGAAAAGAGAGTATCACTACAAGAACAGTCTAGAAAAATCTGTTGAAGTGAGAGAAACACTCTGAGGTATAACAATTACACTTTGTTCACTAAGAATCTTGGTTGTGTCATAGTAGCTGACGTAAATGCACCAGAGTGAGGAATATTTGCAACTTTTCATACAATAGACAAGAAGCGACAAAACTCAAAACATCAGATCACATACATTGGCTTCACCTGCATTTTAAAATTTGTTTCAGCATTTCATTGTAAGCACCCACATCACTGGGTTCATCTTTCAAATCTCAAAAGGTAAAAGCTAAACAAGGCCAAATACTGTTTTTAGAAGGCTGGATCCATCTGGCCAGGAATCCAGACATTAAAGGCAAAACCAAAATTATAAAAAAGAAAAAGAAAACTAAAAAGGAGTCACTCCAAATTTGATGAATTGGGATGAAGTGTTCTGGCAGATAGGGAAGCAGCCTTATAAAATGGCATTCACAGATGAGCGTTGCTATGGTTTCAATTCTCAAGTACTGACAGTGAAAAAACAAGGGATGAGGACACAGAAGCAACAAATACATCACTGCTCAGACAGAGAATAGTTTACACCGCAGATCTTGGTGCACAGACGCTATTTTCAGGTTAGACAGAAATAATGAATCAGGTATGCCTTCCCAAACGTGCCTATCTCGTGGAGATGTATTCTGGCGTGTGGGATCATTAAGACTTGTGGAATATTTGTTCACAATTAAGTAATCTTCTTATAGGATCCCCAGACTCCAGGAAGTTATATTGTCCAAGAAGCAGGACTTGAGAAATGATGATATCCTGCAATTCAGTTAGATGGTGCATGCTCTCTCAAAGTTGAAATGAATATAAAACAAATAAAAATATTAATGACTGCTCTTCTGTTTTGTCAGTCCTGTAGCTGCACTATTTGTTATTCACTGCAAGTGGAGGAGTGGGGAGAATGAGAAGAATAACTGAACACACATATGGGGGATCATTCTGCCTTTGCAGAACTATTCTAAACTAGATTACTATTAAGTAATATGCTCTCTCCATAATAAGTATCCTGGCAACCAGTCAGGAAGCTGAAAATCTATATTTAAAATAAAAAGAACACAAAAAATACCTCAAGACAATTAAGTAAATTGTGGCTATGTGGCTGAGGCAGTTCTAGAAAATGCAGAAATGTCATCTCACAGCATGAGAATCAGAAACATGAAACACACAGAACATCAGAAAGTTGACCACCCAAGTCTGAACCAATCTCTGCTTCAGACCACACTTGATTGAAGTCAGTGCTTCCCCTTACCTGGTCCCTGTTGTTGATGTTGGAGTATGGCAATTGTCCAGTCATCAATTCATAGAGAACAATCCCAAATGCATACACATCCGACTGAAAACTATATGGGTTTTTATCTTGCATCCGAATAACTTCTGGTGCCTGTATCACAAAAGGCAAGAATTAGCTTTTATTTCTCTCCACTGTGCTGCACCTCACCTACCAGGAACAAAACATGCACTCATCCAGGGTACAGGTGTAAGGTCCACTCTTGCCTTCAGATGTTAATGGGTCCTAATATAGAGTGGATGCTGACATGAATCTCAAAATGCATTGCTTCATTTCAGCTTGGTGATCCCTTTTATTCCTCTATGATACTGCAAAATTACCTTGGCCAGGCTGAGAACATATTTGGAAACTAAAATTCTAATGATACTGAAAATAATGCCAGCTAACAGAGCTTTAAGTTTTTCCAGGGAGAAAAAGAGAAAGTGGAGCTGCACAGGAGATTGCAGTATGAAGCAACTCTTCTTGAATCCTTAAAGCTTAAAAGCATCTTACTTTTTGCTGAGCTAGCTCCTCTACTCTTTGGCAGGATGTTTTGCAAGGCTTTTCTCACCTTCTCCTCAACTCTAGATTAATGATACATAATTAATTAATGATAATAATTCATTAATGACTCATTTTCCTTAACCACTACTTTCACTTCAGTATAAACCTCAAATAGAAGATGGAGACACTAAAGTTTTTCTGCTGACTACTGGAAAACACATGCTTAAAGAAGAATTGAAAAACATTCATTTACTACTTCGTATTACTGCTTGTCTTTTCCAGCTTAAGCCAACTTTTATGTTATTATGTTATGCTTATGTCAGTGTGCCAGAGGGAGAGAAGCAGGAAGTTTGGCCAAAGGTAAATAAATTTGTTGAAACAAGCTCACCACTTCCCCCTTGCTTACCATCCATAAAATGGAACCAGACAACTGTTCAAACTGTTGGGATCCACTCCATCGTGATTTCACTGTTGCTAGACCAAAATCACCTATTTTTACTGTGAGGTCTTCATGAAGAAAAATATCTAAGGGGGGCAATGTTAAGGGAAAACAGGCAAGCAGTGCTGGCCCTGTCCTAAAAGAACAATGAACAGCTACAGATTTACAAGATGAACATGACAGTTTTAACCATTCAGCATCACTGAAGAAGGTTTCCACATGACGTAGGTTTTAAGCAGCCAGCATGGTGAATTATGGTATCTAAGGGTTATGTAAGTAATGACTGGGCCAGTGCTGAACAGACCATGGCCAGGTGGCTTTCATGAAGCGCCAAGTATGAGAAAAGCTGAAAATGTTCTGTGAGCCAATTCACAAAATCTTTCATTACAGGAAGAAACCAAAAGATGTAAAAAAATCTTTGTGATACCAACTAAAACTCCCTATGTTATTGCAACTGAATCAAAAGACATAGTAAGCATCTCCTATTTTGTTATTAGTGATATTACCCCTTCTCAGTGAAACTTCTGTTTGGCAAATATTCACACATTAACAGCCTTTCACATCAGTAAGTTAATTTCTGGCAGTAAAAAAAACAAAAAAAACCAGGAATGCTTTCACTTTCCAAAACTGCATCTCTGGGAAAGGATACTATTACTCTTGAGGTCTCTGTGGATGATTGACTTGGCATGCAAATAACTGAAAAGCAATATCACAGATTAGGTAGGTTAGATAATACTTCATCAATCAACAACTCAAAATTCACTGTACTACTGAAACAAATCCTGTTGACATTCAAACTGCACATTTATGCAGGCAGTAAAACTTCAGTTACCCATGACAGTTTCTGCAGCATTCACAGGAAAAAATAAAATAAAGCTTGGACTTCCAGCTCAAATCTGATGCTACTGCTGAATAACAATTATGCTCCAAATTCTGCTTTTCAATTCTAACTCAATATTCACAGTAAAAAGAACTTTACTTATTTTTTTCATGCAATTCTCTGCTGAAATTTCTGCCTCCCAGCCTTAATGGGGACTGTCAAGACTTTGTGAGCTAGTCACAACTTTAGATAAGGTGTTTCTAAATTGCAGGAGCTAAATGTGCTTCCCAATCTGAATGTGTACTTGGGTACATTGACTGCTTTTTAGTAGAGGAGTGGAAAAAAGATCCCCTGATTGCAGCCTGGATAAACAGATGGCAGGGAACACAGAGGAAAGTACTTGCCCCACAGCAGATACAGCCTGAATTAGTCTCCCATGGCTCTTTGTTTAGTCAATGAGATTGGCACAAAACTGCTGGAAAAGCCCCAATTTGTGTCTCTGCTTTGAATAGTGTTCACAAAACAGCTTCTGCATCTCCCCTACCTACAGATGGAACCTGGGGAGATGCACAGGCTAACAGAAGGCTAAGGCTGGTTGCTACAAACACCTCCACACCTCTTGACTGAAAATGTAATGGAATACTGAGTAGAAAAATGGCACAATGAACCGCAATCATCATAGTGGTTTTTCAGCTGAAGTGCAATTTCTCTGTTCTTACAGCAGTGTTCTGATTTTGACATACAATATTTGGCTGGTTTTGGTCAATTCTAACTCAATGGCCCTCTATGGGAGTAAGGATTATTTACAATCCTTAGAACAAAATAGGGATGTTCTCTTCAGATGTTGAAACATGTTATTCAGAGAGCTTGGATACTTTCACCAAATGCCTTAATGACTGAGACAGGACCCTGGGCTCAGCAAAGTGAGCAGAGAGCTGGCCTTATTTGCCAATGTCAGCCAAAGTGTGAAGGGGATAAGTAAACATTGCCCCACCGCTCATTTGCAGACAAGTAATTCAATACTTACTCCATGCCTTGTGCAGTCTGTCGTGCAATATCAATTAGCTTGATCATTTCAAATTTGGTCTCAATGATGTGTAGATGGTGATACAAACTGGACCCTTCACACCATTGTGTAACAATAGCCAACTGGGGTTTTGTTGAATAACCCATGAAAAGCAAGATATTCACATGTCGTGTTTTCCTGTTTACAAAAACATAAGAATCAGGAGGAAGTCAGATCAAGAAATCAGGAAAACCCAGGCAGATCTATCACAGTCTACATATATATTTCCAAACAGAAGGTGTTGGGTCAATCTCAACTTTTCCTATGATAACCTCTTGCTAGATTAATTTAATGAATTATTCTTGAAGTTAGCCTTGCTTATCATACTAACATGGAATAACTACTTTGGGATAACTGAAAAATGTCAGAGCTCTTTTATGTTTTCTTTTATTACAAAATTAACATGGGATGCCAGCATGTGAGACTTTGTCCTTGCAGCAATGTAAACTAGGACAGTTCTGTGCTATGTGACTGTGCCTTTTTCAGGTTCAAGAATTTATCAAGTGATGCTGAGAGTAACTGCTGAAGAAACAAAAAACAAGCAGTTTCTTACAAATCCTACCACAAAGCTAAGTAATGATGAATCCTAATTGAGAAAGCACAACTATAGGTAAATCTGCCTTGTCTGGTCAAAGGATAGAACAAATGATTTTGTATCAAAAAGGTTGGGCTTCATTGAAGTGACTACCAGCAGAAAGCTGGACCAAGATGTTTGATTTCATTCAGTTCTGTCAAAATTCTGTCAAGAAAATTAAGAGATACCCAAAATAGCACACCCCAGAAAGACTCTACTTTCACAACTATGAGCTTAGAGTTTTTGGAATTAACATTTTCCTAGGGTAAAAGGCTGACCATTCCCTTTCTCCTCATTGCTTATTTGGGATGTTTCCACAGCACAGGTTCCCAGCTCAACCCCTCAGGTTTCCAGGGACAAAAACCTTCTTGCTATTTTGTTTCTTAAAACACAATTATGCTCAACACTGCTCTAGATTGTATTTTGATGTAATGTTTCTTCAAAGCATATAGTCTATCATGTCATGCTGATGGATCTTTGTTCAAGAGCTGAACTCAAAACAAATACCTCCTCTGAGATACTAGAAGCAGTAGACATGAGAAAAGGAAATTACGAAATTACTTTATAAGAATTACATTAAAAAAAAACCTCAGAGAAATTAATGTTACTGAACAGAAACTATTAAACAACAGATAATATGGGCAGGACTATAGCTGAAAACCCAACCATCAGTCATGTTCTCCTTCAATTGCAAAATGTGAATAGAGGAAAGAAAGGCCTACAGCTCACACTTAGGCTTGACTGTGCCCTGGGGACAGTACATTGGCAAAAACTAGTTTTTGGACATATATGTATTGACAACATAGGTGTGCAGACAAACACATACAGTGGATATAAAGAAATATTTTAAAATGGTTATTTTCTCTGCCTGAAGTATCATCACGTAGGAGTGAAACCAATGTGTTCCAATGGAGATCTAAAAATTCAGTGATTAATGAAGCACAAATCTACACACATTATTTCATGCCATTAAACTATTCTTACCTGAGCACTCCTACTTCATTTTTGAAAGCCTGTAACTGTTGAGGTGTGGGTGCCGTAACATTCAACATTTTCACTGCCACATCACCTTTAAAACAGCAATTTTTAGTAAGTGCCATTGATACATATTCCTCTCTTGAGAGAATGTTGCAAAGGGCAGCAGAAATTTTGGGATACACTTTTTTTTAGCTTACATGAAGTAAATCATACAATTTTAAAGTAAGTCAATATTCAGAAAAATGTAGAAATACTATTCTTACTTTACTCTGAGAAATCATAGCCAGGCCAAAGCTATTAAAAATACACATTTCAAATCCTCATTCATCAAGATGCATATTTCTGCCTTTTTAATGTTTCATCTTTACCCTAATAATTTCTCAGTTCAGAACAACATGCAAGAGTTGCGTTTCTAAGCAATATGAAGTTCTTACATTAGTTATTTAGCACACTGCTTATTAATTTAAAACTCTTTATTTACTGCCCTTCACTGCAGTCTCCTCATTATGTCCACATCTCTCTTGCTGTGAGACGACCAGAACTGGACCCAGCATTCCAGGTGTGGCATTACCAGTGCTGAGGAGAAGGATTGCCTCCCTTAACCTTTAACCCCTAACCCTTGCCTCCCTTAACCAGCTGGCAATGCTTAGTGCAGCCCAGGAGGCCATCTCCCTCTCTGTGGCATAGGGACACTGCTGGCTCAGTCTGGTGCCCACCAGAGTCCCAGGTGTGTTTCTGGGAAGCTGCTGTCCAGCTGGGTGTGCCCTGGCAGGCACTGTGACCTCCTCAAGAACAGATGTTAGACATCATGGACACATACCATGCCACTTTCCTTTGTAGACTGTTCCAAATGATCCAGACCCTATCCTTTGTCCAACTGTGATCTGTCCATCTGGTATCTCCCAATCATCACTTGAATCCCGTCGACCAAGAGTTTTCTTTATATATGTGCAAAAACAATAAAAAGGAAGAACACAAGTGCATTAATGTCTCTGAAAACAGCTCCTTTGTTACAAATTTCTCACCATCAATAATGTCCTGAAAAAAATGTTCTTTTTCACATGTTGATTTTTGACTTCTAAACTTAGCCCTACACAAAACTTCAGGACACAGGTATGCCAAATTATTACCTGGCATGAAACATTTGCAACAGCTTTGTGCCAGTGTTAAAACCAGAAAATATTAAGAAAGGCTCACCAAAAAGAAAGTAGTACTTGATTTTAAATTGTTAGTCATAATACTAAACTGTGAATTTTTTAAAAAGTGGATGTTTTTATGTTTTCATGTATTGTTACATAAAAATTTGTTACACACATTTGTTACTTTCAAAGTTTATGAATCATAGTGGGAAAAGTTAAGCTGTTACATGAAGGGAAAGTAGCATTACAATATGAGTCACACTAGTAAAAGTGAGTTTAGTGAATTATTTAAATTATTTATATATCAGTCCCACAATTATTTATGGTTTTAAAGTGGGTTATCCCACTCTATTATTTATCAGTTTCAAGTCCTTGATCATTGCCATATTCATCTTCAAAATAATTTATAGAACTTGGATGAAAGAAAAGTGAGAGGAAGGTGGTTGTGTAATATTTCTACAAAAGAAAGCAGCTGATCTTTCCCTTACCATTCGATTTCTGTCTTCTGAGGATGAGGATGACTTCCTTTCCCGCTGGGGTCCTGGTGATTTCTGTAACGCTTTCACATTGGTTAGTGACCCGGGCAAAGAAGCGGGAGGTGTTGCAGACAAGCCTGCAGCCGAGCCTAAATTTCAGAAACAGGATAGTTTTATCTGTAAGAATCCACCTTACAAGAATGTATTGACATTAGGTGCAAGAACTGTGTTTAAGATGCAGTATCTCTAAACATCAATGTGAATGTTAAGAGAGAACAAACATATACAGGAATATTGTCCTAGTATTACATTAGTGCTCATGTCTCAGGAAGAGACCAATCTATACAAAGATTTCAGGAAGAGACAAATCTATAGCAAACATCCATGTATAGATAGTCTCCAGTCTCTTATTCATGAATTAACAAAAGGACAGTGTCTTTTTACGTAAGAAAAAATACTTTAAGATGTATTTTTAAAATGCCATCACTTTCTTTGAGAAGAACAGTAGCATTTTAGTTAGCACCATCTACCTCTGATATTTCTTGCAGCTAAGCTTTTAGGAACCCAACAAATAGCTGAACTCTTGTACTTTGGAATCAAAATAGACTAAATACAAATAATTGAAATGTTTTCTGGTTGAGTCTCCAAGTGCCACCTGAAAATCATTTGGCTGTTTTAAAGCTATCTGTTAGCAGAGAACTATTATTTAAAAATAAATATTAGACTTTAGAAAGGATTAAAAAAGCACAAGTACTTTAGTTAGCTATTTGAAGCATACTCTAGGAAACCTAGAAAGAACAGTATGCCGGTAGCCTGTAGGTTATCTAAACAAATCTATGCAGGAAAATGTTACTAAGAGAGCTGTTTCAGAGCCCCAGTGGCCCTCTTCAAATAGAGCACTTCACCTAGACACTGCTTTTTAAAATACATCACAATTATTCCTAACAAGGTTATGCTGACCCTTCCAATGCAAAGGATATAAAATAGGGTCAACTGTTAATTAAATTCAAGCTGCTTTGCTAAACAATGTGTGTCATTGAATAAGATCTCTAACATTCCACTGCCTTCTCTCACATCAGTGCTCTGGGAAGTGGTGGAAGACAATACTCCTCATATTCTCTTAGAAGCTCCCCTCTTAAGCAAAAAGTGTCTCCTAATGGCAACTAGGACTTGGTGACTTTTTAAACTGCTGCTTAAGTTCAGTCACTCAGTGCATATTAATTTATCAGACTATATGTATCCATCACTGGACTCACAAACTAAAATCTATACGCTTGGAGTGGATACACAAAGTCACATACCAACAGATACAGATGCTGTGTAAACTGCATCTGTAAACTGTCCCACATATTAAAGCAACAATAATGATGTATATTGTGCATCCTAACTATATTTATAAGTAGCTGGAAGCCAGTAACCTGAAGGATGGACTTATGTTCATGCTACGGCCACAACATTGTCATTTATTTATTATATGATTCATCTGAAATCAAACATACATAGAATCAAATGTATGATGTTCCAGGAACATGAGCAACTTTCTAAAAGTTTACTGGGTTACAGATTTCTTCTTCAATAGTAAAGATCTGGGATGCATTTTCTTTGAGGTAACCAAAATCTCCTATTTAAATTTTAATACCACAATATGGGAACACTAGCACAATATTCACCCTTCACCAAAAGTGCTTCCAGCACATGGCAGAACACTGTAGTTAATCTGTTCATAATAATACCAGATGGCCTGTTTTCAAGTTATTAGAGTAGAATACTTCAGATAATGCTGGATTTAAGTCAATAGCTTGGACTCTGAAGCAGTACGTAACATATTTCATTCTGCAGCCAGTTTGCTTGTTGGGAACACCAGTCTTCTTGCAAAGACTTCTGGAAGATCTTTACAAGTTCAAAAGATGAACTGTTCTTGATATATTCTGAAACAAGAGTCTTTGAAACAGCCAAGATGGTAGCATTTGAAAACCACACTACATGCACTGAACTAACCATTTCTACATGTATTATGTAGAGACACAAGTATGAACATTTCATGCTATTACTCAGTAGTTGGTTTCTCCAGCATACGAAATCCCACAGAGTTTTTTTGGGATTTTGTGCAATACAACAGATCCATTGACAGCTCAAGGCCTAAATTACCCCCACGGCCAATGACATGAAAATCTAGAGTGTCTTATTTTACATAGCATGGGACAAAAATAATGTTTCAGTCAAATTTACTAACTAAATAAAAACTACTAAAACCATCCAGAGCCCCGATGTGGTGTCACTAGCACACTGTCAAAATGAAGTATTTGTTGAAAGCTGACATGACACATTACTTGAAAAGCTTGAGACCTAACAAGATATCAATGGAAATGTTTGTAATTCGCATTTGATTTCCTACATCATTTTTCAAAACAGAGAATTTTAAATACAGAAAACTGTTATAGCACTGAACTGACTTAAACTGAACAGTCAAGGAAATTCTAAGTTAAGGACATAATTTTATATTTAAAATCACTGCAATGCAATCCAGTTTCCTTGTTTTAGAAAGATTAGGTTAAGGTTCACAGAAAAACCTCAACTATGAAATTCCTTGCTTTTGGAGATTTAAGTCAGACTTCATTTATAATCATTTTCAAGCGTGTAAAGGTGAAAGTGAGTATGTGTGAAAAGCACATTCAAAGCATTCCAGCCAGGCCAAGCAAAAAACAGAGGTGTTTTGATAAACTCACACACTTACATACACACGGTGTGAGGGTGAGGCACAAACAGCATCTGTGGTTTTACTTATTTTGTTTGGGTGAAAACAAGAAAGAAGAGCCCAACTACCTCTGAACACTGGGCCAGGCTCAAAATCAAACACTATTTCACTGGGGACAGAATGAAGGAGGGGACTGGGAGTCCGGGATTGGTATTTCCGAAGACAGCGCATCAGCTGGTTCAAAGGGGCTGTTAGAGAGAAAGAGACGGGCAGGCAGAGACAGAAAGACAGACACATAGAAGAAATGAAAGAAGTCATGGGAAATAACTAGGATGCTTTGACTCCTAATTATAGATTTCTTCCGTACTTCGAAGGAAAAAAAGTCAATTCCCAAGACCACTCTTTCAGGACTGGAAATAGCCAATTGTTTTCAGATGCCAAGCAGACGGTTTATGATCAAAAGTTAAAACCAACATGATCGCACAACATTTAAATGTTGGACAAAATGGGCAAAACTCTGGAGAGCCATACCTATCGACACATACAAAAACAGCTAAAACTGGCAATTTGCAATTAGTAGCTTGCAGGGCTAAAGGAAATGTCTTTCTTTAAAGTGTCTGTTGCTGGCATTATTAAAGTCAGCTCCATCAAACACAACACATCCTACCAAATACCTGATTTGCATGGGAGAAACAAAGTGAGTGAAAGTCTAGAGTACAAAACCTTTAAGATCAGGAAAGGGTGCAAAAGTATGGTAATTCAGACCCATACTTATGGCTGAAGCAAGTTATAATCAGTTGAAGACAATTGTGTTACTGATTTGGTGTTGGAAAAACTGTCATATGTCCACCCTACTTAGTACTTCTCTGTTCTCAATATGTCTGCTTTATTCTTATATTCATAGGAATAAATACAGCACATAAGAAACCGTTTTCAGGACCTTGACAACCAGTGGGAGAAGTGACTTAAGAGGCCCGTGCACAACACCTGAAGAAAAATAAACCCTCTGGCACTAATTCTGATTTAACTGTGAATTAAGGCAGTGAGTTACTGAAGGAAACATAAAAAGGCCTGGCTTTAGTGTAAGATCCTAATAATCTGCTTCCAAGAGTAGCACAGGCATGCAGTACAGCAAAGCAGCAACTTCAGCAGGGGTAGAGGGGGAGAAGAACTGGAGTATTTCAAGCTGCTTTAGGATGCAGCAGTTCCTATGGAAGGCCCATCTACCACAATGGTTTTAATTCAAAATCCCTGTTGTTTCCATGTGTGAAAAGGTAACAACAGGCATAAAAATCTTTGGGAAGTTGTAGTGTATCTGTGTGCAGCCATGTGAGTGAATAAGTGTGTGTGTGGGTGGGTGGGTGAGAGAAAGAGTAAAAAAGTAATTTTAAAACTAAAAAAAACTAGATACTACTTCAAAACTTTTTCTCCTTCCGTCTCCCCCACTCCCAGAATGACCAGCAAATGACTCAAATCTTTGTGAAACAAATACTAAGTTCATGGACAAGCAAATGTAAATTCACTTTTTTGTTCTAGTCATATTTTGCATTGTGGCTGTGTTTTGTAGAAGGAAGTAGGGTAATGGGAAGGGACAAAACAGTTGTGTAATTAAAAGTAACACAGTAGTTAGTTTAAATGCTACTTACCTGCCTCTCCTCGTAAACTCTGGTCTCTAATCAAGTCCTATAAAAAAATTTAAAAGCTGTGCTTAATTTAGGTATTAACACTTACATTCTGGAATCAATTGAGACTGATAAGTTTGTGAATTCATAGTGTCATATGTTGCCCATTAAATAAAAGTGGTTTCCTACCCTGACTTACTAATAGCAATGACTCAACTACTATACTTCTCAAAATTAAGTTGCTTTAAAACAGCATCTCTTTGCAGTAAAGTGAAATGTACACTACCCAAAAGAGAAGCTGACAAGAAAATATTGATTTAAAAACACAGCTGTCAGTAGCAGAAATGGTTTGAATCGTCATATCAGAACCTGGGACATCAATTTTCTGTACTGAAGTACATGAGTCAAATGACTCCTGCTTTGTTTTTTCTCGTAACAATACACCTGATTTGCATAGCCAAGCACACTGCTCTTCTCAGAAATGACTAACTGCAGAAGGCTTTCTTCACTTGCAATCCTCTGTGAGCTGAAACTATCTTTTGCAACATGTCCAGACTAAAACCAAACTACACTTACGATTTTATAAACAGAAGGAGAAAATTCTAGCAGTTTGCTTCTGAATGTCCATTTTTATAATAAAGCTTTTTTTATTCCCTTCTTGTTCCATAATTATATTTGTTTCCTTACACACCTGTGCTTTGCCAAAAGTACTAGCTATGCCTCAGCTGTACCACTGCCACATACCACATACCAATATCTACATAGCCACACTCTTAAAATTAACATTTCACTTTTCCCTCAGCTCACATGCAAAACTGATTTTGTGCCTCAGTATCCAGGCAGATTTCAAGACTGCTCACCCAACAAATGACTAATTTCTAGACAGCAGATTTAAGGATAAAATATGAACTGTGTATGTTAGCAAAGTTAGCAAAAGGCAACATCTTGAAAGGTCCTAACTGTCCTTATGCTAATACCAACCATCATTATTAGTTATATTAGTTACACCACCCAGAGATTTCAAAATTGTGGGAAAAAACCTTAATGTAGCAGTTTCTGAACATTCTAAAGGAATGCTCAGAACAACAAAAACCAGGCTCTTAAACTCTTAAGGAACTATCAGAATATGGGAACTCAGCTTAATTTAATTATTTCGTTTCCTTCAATGCCAAAATTATTACATGGAATACAAATACTAAAAAGTCTTTATCTTGCATAACAATGTGTTTAACACAGAATGACAAATACTAAAAAGTCTTTATCTTGCATAACAAACACAGAATAGTTTGCAAGAGTGGTTACTGGCTACAGCTAACAGCATAAGCTGTGCAACTGAAGGCAGAAAAAAGGCAGTTTTTTGGGGCAGAATGTTTCTTTGAAAAATTAAAAGGACAGAACTATCAAAAGGCAGTTCTGCTTTCAGAGAATGGATTATATTCCTACAGCTCTCAATGGCAAAAAGAATCTATTAAAAAAAAGAAAAATGAATGATCTTTGAAGATTCTGGCAGATCATTGAAGATTATTTTAGAAACACAGTGTACATTGTGTACACAATGAACTCAACACACTGGCATTCACAAGGAACACATCACATCTACTATTCCTGATCTAATGGTCAGTAATACTCACATCAATATTGACTGGCTCGATTGTATTGATGTGAACGTTGGGAGCTGAAGAGGATCGGTCGCGTTGCCCAAATTGATTCCGATGGTCTTCATCTGCTGGTCGGAGGGGCTGTGGGATTGGAATGGATTTTGAAGGAGAAGGACTAGGGAGAATTGGTGGTCTGAGAAACAAAGTCAAGGAAAAAGAGGATTTAGGTCTACAAATGGCTTCAAACACTGCATAGTGGGTGTGGTAAGTCCTTTTCAACTATAATAATACATAACAAAAAAAACTGATCTAAAGCCCTGAATAAAAACAATTAATAATGAACAGTCTCTACTCCCCTATGATCAATTCCAACAACTCTCTATTGCATCAACTACCTGATCACATGGCTGTGAAGTGTTCAGAGTTAAAACAATGAAAACTCTACCCTACAATGCCAAACTAGTAATAATAAATTCTGATCTGAAAAAGTCCTGCTGCCCAACATGCATTGCAGATAGCAAGATACTCTGCAGTTTCCTCACCTCTGAGTCAATGCAATACACTCATTTTAATAGTAACCAACTGAGAACTAAAAATGCTTAACATCTCATATTAATGTTACAGTCAGAAAATGTCATAAAACAAAATGTACGGATGGGATTATTTTTCACCAAAGAAAAAGTAAAAACTACATCTGGTCATTCAACCTAATTGATTAATAATTATGTATTATTGATACTAAAAACAACATGGCCAATGTATCATTGATACTAAAAATAAACACATCACCCTTTAACCTCAGCCTTTAAGAAACAATTTTGAATAGCACATTTCAAGTGTTATTTACAGTGCCACAATGCAATAGGTTTGACTGAAAAGGTAAGTCTTCAGAATACACAAACAAGCTTCCTGAAGAAATGCAAACACTGTCAGTCATAAAGGTAGATAAAGCCTTTAATTATGGCATAATGAGTTGGATATTCAAAAGACAAAACTACTAAATACTTGGGTTTTTTGTTTGTAAAAAGGCAGAAAGTAACTTCTTTGGTTATCCATTAATTTTGTTAAAGTGCAATAAACTGGCCATTATCTCTTACCCTAGTCAAGGTCAGTCACTGCTAAGCCTAATGATTCAATCTAATGGATGTAAGGCAAAAGGCTAATGAAAACATTTGCCACCTCTGTCAAAGAAAACTTTATGGTAAAATATACACGGTATCTGACAACAAGGTTTTTAAGAGCTGGTTTCTTTTTCTAAGTTATAACTTTTTCTAAGTTATATATTTAAGAGCTGGTTTCTTTTTCTAAGTTATATAAAGGAGTGGAGTCCTCCAGCTGTTCAACGACTCATGGATTAATTGTCAAGCCCACAAAGGCAACGTCCACAGGGAGAAGCCTCAGAAACAAAATCTACAGCAGCATATAGCAGCCATAGGTCCTGATGCCACCTCTTGTAAGCAATGCTCCTTGGCCTCTTCAAAAACCTTTGGGGAAACAAACATTTTCAACAGGACATCTTGGCATTTTTTCAGAAAGAGGTCTGTTTTATAGCCTACTATCCTACCTTTCATTGAAAAATTTATCCAGTTTGGCACTGATCCCAGAAATCAGTGCTATTTGTATCCTAAATACCTGTCATCTTTTCCTTCCTGGCCAACAATCTCACAATTGAAAATGGCAAAACAAAGCACTCATGAATTAATTCAAGTAACAGTCCAGTAGGTCTTCCAGTGAAATACCTGAATGTGTTGGGGAAGTGGGGCAGGAGAGAAGAGGCAGGGGGTTTAACCCTGCATAACTTGGAAAAAAAAAAAAAAAAAAGGCAGCTACCTACTGTCACATGACAGGATACAAATACTGGGAAGATACTGGGAAGCAATGAATTAAAACTACCAATAGTCAAATCTCTGAGAAAGGGCCTTGAAAAACCCAGCATTTCAGTAGTTGTTTATAATTTCAGAACTATTTTTTTAAATGCAGTTGTTGTACTTTTTTTATGTACACATATGTACACATATGTTTTTTATGTACACATATGCTGAAGTTTTCATTCACTGCTATGCAAGTACCTACAGGTAAAGTATTGCAGATGAGGAAGTTTTGAACTCCTGAATGTGTTTGTAAGTAAATCATGTGACTAGAACACACATCAGGAGATGGGACACTGCACAGATCCTAATGCAGGATTTGACTGACATTCAAAGGCACTCCATTTTCATCTTAAGCCAAGTGTGTCAAACGCTAAACAAAAAATAGTACCAGAAGAAAAGTCCAAAAGTTGTCTAAAAGGCCACCACTGTCACTGCTGGGATAGCTAACTCCTGCTTAAACTTCCTGAGAGTTCTCAAGTAATAAGGAAATTAAGGGAAATATATCACAACACCCACCAGAACATTGCACCAGGACTGACTGTGACAAACCATCTGAGCTCTGCCACATGACAAAGCCAGACGCAGTCAGATATTCTGTGATCATGAGTAAGCCAAGGGAGAGAAAACCAGATTGAGGCAATATTGTTTCAATTACATCCTCCTTTGAGTGATAAATGGTCATCTGCTGCTTCTGTATTTCTGGTCATAGGTCATCATGTCCATCATGTTGATAACACAGATAGTGTGCTACATCATACCATGTTTGAAAACAACTTGAACAGCTTTTTCTACTCATTCAGTTCTTACTAGGGAAAGTCCAGATCTTTAGAAAAATAGGCTGATAAAGAATTTTTTTTTTTTTGTCTCTAAACTATTACTTGGAGGATCTCTGGGCTTTAGACAACAAAGAATCCAGAGATGGGAACCTTATAAGCAGTTAGCCACGTGCTCCATCATGATTTTATTAATGGGTGTCCTTGAGACACTTTGAAAAAATGTAGGTTATTTCTGCTAAATGGAATTTTTTCTTGAAAAAGATAACTAGTGAAGTAAAAGAGACAAAGGGTTTGCTAGTTAAGACAGCCTACTGAGATCACAAGCTCAGAAAAATATTACCATCAGCTTCTCCCTGTGTGTGGCAAAAGCTGGATCTTGTTCTATCAAAATCACATCACCGCAAAGAACACAGTGATCCTCTGAGCTACCAAAAGGCTGTTCCTACAGTATTCCTACAACGAAATTACTTGAGAAGAGTAGAAGTGATACTGCAGCTAAAAGGTCCAGACATCATCATTTGGAAAAGGGTGACATGGTCTATTCCAGGCCAGTTCCAAAACTAGTTCTTAGGCTATGGAAGCATAGTGCTGACAAAACACACTGCAAAAAAACAACCAAAAAAAGCCCCAAAAAAAAACAAACAAAAAAACTCCAAACAAACCAAACACACACAAAAAAATTTAAACAGAAAACCAACCCCCACCCTGAAAAAAATAACTGGCTGAGGCTTAAAGGAACATGCAGTTTGAATATCAGGATCCGAGTTTCTGTTGCTCCTGTGGCCTTTGTGAACAGTTTACAGCCACCTTGCAAAAGGAGACCTTCTACAAATAAGCAGATAAATCACTTTCTCCCAGCCTCCGAGATACGGGCATCCTTTCAACAAATGAGTCTCAGCTTCTGAGGCAACAAGCTGATATTGTCAAATCTCAATCTAATATGTTATAACCCATATTTTGGGATTAGGAATACATTGTTCCCTCCCTTTATGTCAGGCAAAAGAGAAAGATGTTTTATCAGGAAACAAGAAGAACTTATACCCTTTTACCAAGCATAGCAAGTGCCCATGTGTTCACAGATTTACTATCCCACAAAATCGGGTCCACAAGAAAGAGTAAGGTAACTCAGAAAAGTGTCTGCACATGTTTTGCTATATATAAAGAAACAATTTTATAAAACCATATACAGTATGTCTATTGGATTTGAGAACTTGCAATGATTTAAATAAGTTCAATTTACAAATGCAAAAGAAAATTTTAATACAGATTTTCCTTAATGTCCTTTACTCACTAAGGAGATGTTTCATAAGTGTTTAAGAGCTGGTCTACACAGGAAAGATTTTTCTTCAAATTTTTCTTATGATAAGTCTATTTGGGCTCCAAATTTTTGTTTGTATTTTTATTTTGCTGTACTTGAGCAAATGCTTGAAAATTCACATTCACCCAGCTTCAATTATAAGGTGTCCAACCATTCCTTCTTAAAATGACAGCATCTCTCCTAGACTGAGATTTTCTTTCTCCTCCTCACACCCTGAACAAATCCATCTCAGTTTAGCCACTGGGCTCAGTGCTGCACATCTGTAAGGCAGCACACTCATACCCATATCAAACCTAAGCTAAAATGCATATCAAGGCTTTTTTGGATTGTTTTTGTTTACAGCAGAGTGTTAACACCAGACTGGATTTGGTTGTTGTTACTGCCCTTAATGAAGAAAACTACACTTGCAGTTCCAAGCAGTTTCTTAGGACTGCAAAGATCTGGGACACAGAAATTAAAAAGTTTGGTTTTCTGGCAATGTCTATGGAGTACTACAATAATTAAATCAGAACCTGTTTGGCCTCCACAATTTAAGTTTACCTGTTTGCTACTATAGCCGAGATACCACTTTCCCTATCCCTGCAGCCCAGATATACTCAATCCCAAATCAAATTGCCAATTTGGAGAAAAGGACAACAGTACCAGTTTGTAACTACAAGCCAAATATCCTTCTTGCAGCACCCTCTGAAGTCAGTCTAGAAGCATCATGGAACAGATGAGGAGTAAGTCATTACCCCACACAAATTAGTTCAGTTTTTTATACCATGACAACTTGTTTTCATCCATGTTGGCTTGTAGGTGAAAAACAACTGCCAGGAGTATCACAATGGTGTGCACTCATTTATAATGGCCTTTGGGCCCAAGTCAAAGCTGATGAGCCTAAAATTCCCCATAGCTTCACATACCAGGCGTTATCAAGAGAACCACACTGTCTGTCACTGTTAGTCCTCCAAACCAGGTCCAGTTCACTAGGCAGGTTTTTGCAAATAAAGTTTTGGAGAGCAAGAGGTTTCCCTCACTTGTTGTATGGACTGAGAGTTTTCTGATTCTGATACCAAACCTTCTCTGCAAAGCAAGAATGCATATCAACTCAACTTGTATATTGTAGGAACACTGGGAACCTATTCATGGAGAAACCTGGAAAAGGCCTGGTGCCAGAACTTTAAGGGGGCAAGTTCACTGTTTTATGAATTAAAACACAAAGCTTTTGCTCACTTACATACCACAGGACCTAAATTGCATTGTAGCATAAAATGTAATATTTTAAGACTGTATCTTTGCTTCCTTGGCTTTTCAGAAGCTTTTCTAGACATTCAAGTATCTTCAAGATAGCAGAATGATCAGTGAACAGTTGGAAACAGAAAGGAAAGCAGAGGTGTTTAATCACAAGCTGGAGCCTGCTCAAAGGCAAGGACTGGCAAGCTTCCAAGAACAGTGCACCAGACATTCCCCTTTTCTTCCTCCAGCTTAGAAGGTGAAGCATATTGGGAAATGCTGTTTTTCAAAGAGCCAAGATGTTGCAAAATTGCTTAATTCTCTTTTTCATGTATCTGAGATTGAGGGAACTGGGTTCACAGGAATTCTGTACTCATATTTTAAGAGCCAAGATGGAGAAGAAATTTCATGACAGTGCAATGAACAAAACAAATAAAATGTCTGATATACAGTTTCCTTACTTCAATTTTATTACAAATGGCTCTTAGCAGGGAGACCTTAATTTTTCTTTCGATTTAACTGCAATTGTAACTAAAATGGTTGTTCTGGCACAACAGGATAATGCAAATGGAAAGAACTAAAATAGGACACAAAACCTAACTGCTGGACACAATTTTATAAGGGGTTCAGAAATGTGAAATAGGACCATATGTGCTCCCACACGTTGGGGGGACAGCCTATGGCTCACAGTTGGAAGAATGAAAGGCTCCAGGCCTGGATTGCTTTAGGATGTTGTACATGAGCGCAGTGAAACAGTTCTCCAACATGTCTAGCAGCTTTTGCATCATGTCCAAAGGTATTTGTGTCCCTTTCTCTTCCAAACTTTTCCATCTGCTCCAATTGCACATTTTCACTCTTGAACTTGTCTTACAACACAAACTTCCTTCTTTTGGGCACTTGGCCTGCTGCTGCGATCCCTTCACAAGGCTAGAGATGAAGAAGGATGTTTGCCTTCTCTTTCCTCAGGTTTACCAAACGATTAATAACATCCCTTTCTCTGTGAGCTGTTCCATGCAAGATGCTAGAACAGAGAAATTAAAAGAATAATTATTAATTTAGGAAGTGTTAATAAAGCACTAGTTCCTCATATTTTCCATCCCATTGCTCAGCTCTCAAATATCAATCCATATTCTCCTCCCAGACAAGATAAGCTCATATATCAGCCTTTGTTTTTCATTCCAGTTGAGCTGGTGTCCTATATTGTAACAGTCCTCTTTAATAAAACCACAGATGAGTACATGTTTTTGTAGAAAAGGCCAGCTTTTTAAATTCAGCTAGATTAATATTTTCACAATTATGTTCTTAAAAAGCAGAAAAGTATGATTAAAGAAAGGCATGAAAGATAACTGGAAAAAGGTTGCGAACAGATCTATATGCTCATCCAGTAACATCTGAGCTACTTCTGGAAAGGAAATGCTACACACACAGATGCTAGGGGAACACTGTATGACTAACATGCATATTATGTATGAACACCAGCTGATAATTATAAACCATTTCCAAAATGAACAGAATTTTGCAGGCATGATGTATGCCTTTGTTTTGTTTATCAATAAAGTGGACAACAAAGCAAAAAAAGCAGAAAGGAGAAAGCTAGAAACCTCTTACATCTTCTGCAACTACATATATTTATAGATGCAACACTTGAGAAGAGCTCCTAAACAGCAACTAGCAAATGTATTTAAATGTTAACATTTTTATGTATGTGAAGTTAAAGATCTCAAGGCATTCACCAGCTTTCGTCTCAAATTTTTTCCTTCTGTTTTCACTTGGCAAAACTAAGACTGCTTGAAGCAGTGTATGTATCAAGATAATCCATACTACTGTAACCTCACAACCTGGTAAGAATAGACCTATGTGATGCAAAGGCAATTGAAAAGTAGAACAATTTAGAATGTTGAGATTAGGGCTATATAGTGTCTTTGACATCCACTAGTGTTTAACACAATTGGTATGAAGAAGTTGCTTCATGAATTAACAGCTCCAGCTCAGTTACAATTTCGGCTGTAGCATGACAAATACTTGACAGGCAGCCTTGCCCACAACCTGCTGTACTAATATCCACAGGATCTAAAGGCAACATTCACTACCTTGAAGACGTACTTTTGAATTCACTTGAATCTGCACAAAATAGAACAAGTAACAACATAATCTCTGTACTTACCAAGTGAGGTTCCTTCCCGCAGAGGACTGGCAATCTGTTTTCCTGCGAGGCATTTTATTTGGTCTTCCATAAAACATTTTTGGCTGTCCAGAAAATTTATCTTCCAGTTAAAGAGTCCAGAGGTGCCTGTGCAGCTTCCAGTGTGTTTCTGCTTTGGTTTAGGCACAGTTCTCACTCATCCAAGAGAGCCTCTCTGCCACATTCAGCTCAACTCCACACAGCACATGTGTCCTTGGAATGGTTTCCTGAAGGCTTCTGTATTTGGTGTTCATAATAAATATGCACCAAATTTCTTGAGCGTGACATACATCCCTGAATTACTCTTCCCTGGACATTTGTTCAAACTACCTAATGGTGGATGGTGTCACTGATCTCTTTGCTACTGGGAACATAACATAAATATGGGCTCTTATCTCTTCATGGAGAAAGGGTCCAGAATCTCTGTTGGAAATGGGGAGTTTTAGAGGTCTACTTTTACAAAACCTGGAACTGCAGCAACAGTTGCTATTGGTATACCCCGACATGAACAGGAAGAGGACAGCTGGTCTGGAGGATACTAAAGCAGTGTATGTGGAAGAGCTACTAAAACAGTATTATGAACCTGGAACTGGCACCTGTTCATATCAGCCTTATAGTAATGCGGTTTATTCTCTAACTGACATATGGTCAAAGCATATAAATTGTAATTTAATAACCAACTAAAAGAATTTGTGAGGATATAATTTTGGTTTACATTAATTTTAAGTATAAAATCTTTCCAGTTTAGACCAGGTCTAAGTTAATATGTAGAAGAAATCAGTAAAAAACAGGTAATACCTCAATTCTACAGACAGTTACACACACATTTAACCTAGGCTCATTACTAACTTATAGAATTTGTGTGAATGAAAACATTCACTTCTTTGAAGTTAAGCACAGGTGGGCATATTTGCATGAGAAGCCAGATTACTACAATGCAGAGCTGCAAAGCATTACTTCAAGTTTTTCTTAGCACAGTACTGAAAAGTTATATTATTAAACAGCAGGAATAAGTTCATACCCAACAGAATCTGAGGGGGGCACTGAGGGGTATGATCCAGATGCTGGGGTGGTCTCTCCTAAGGAGGCCTCCTCCGGTGGTATGGGGTGATGTTCAAAGAACTTGGAGACAAACAGCAAACTGTGAGGCAAGAACAGAACAAAAACAACCTAACTTGTGCAAAACCCAGAAGTTTCACAATATAATACTCAAAAACTACAAAAAAGATCCCAAACACCAAAACCTCATTGATTAAATTCTAAATTTAAAAATAAAGATCACACACATTAAATCTGCAAGGTATGTTAAAAGTATTATTTACTTCACAGATGATCAAAAGATCATGCCTTAAATATAAACTTTGTGGATATTAATTTTTTAATATTTTAGATGGAATTATAAACATCTGGTTCTTCAAGAATGCACAGCTTATATCTATCAGTACATAAACTTACACCCTGAGCACAAACTCCAGAGATGCCAATGGAAACAGTTACAAATACCAAAATAAACTAAAATTAAATTAATTCTTCGTGAGAAAAATAGCATTTTAAATTATTTCTTATACAAAAATCTATTTAAAAGACTTAATAGCCTCTGCTGAAACTAATCAAATAGAACAGACCCAGTTTACACCAGATCCTAAATCTACATCAAAGACTTGTTTGAACAAATAGTTCAGTAACTCAATCCAAGAACACTGGACTGCTTGAATCATTCTCTTTTATGGTTCTTACCTAGGCATTAATCTTGTCAGCAGATTTATTTTCAATTATTGTAAAACCAACAGCAATTTCACTATAATCAACTATTGTCTCTTAACATTTTTTCAGGTTGAAGAGAATAAACCCACAGCTAAATTTTAAACAAGGCCCTAGCCATCCCACAATAAAGAACCAGTTTTGATTAATAACAACAACTGTGAACAATGAGTTGTCTGTCCGATACAGTGAAGTGCTCAGCAACCCTATTCATACTTCAAAAAAAAGCACTTCATAGACCAGCAAAGAAATATGAACTGGTTGTCTGAGCTAGCACAGAAAGAGTGTGAATTAAGCAGTCTCACAAGAACAGCTAACTCCTATTTTTTTTTCAGCCACCTCTTCTGACTTCCTGAATTACAGATTTAACACAAGAAATCACTGACAGCTGTACACTTGTTAAAAGGCTCAACTTGAAAATCAATTGTGATTACTTACTCAAGTTGGTCATAATTAACACACATCAGTGGCACTTCTGTGCTACAGCGCTGGTGAAATTTGTAGCCACAAGTCTGGCAGCGGAACCCCTGGAAAAGCAGCTTCCGACAGAAATCGCAGAACGCCAACGTGAAGAACGTTTTGCGTACCTACATTGGAAAAAATAGTCACAATCACCTGGAGTCCTTCTGTAAGCCCAATATAGGCAATTTGCTTTTACCTCCCTCAAGCGTACTTAAAAGGCTCTTTTGTGATGCTGGAGCTACAGTTTTATGTATCAAATAGATTTACACGAAAGATCATCATCTCCTTTTTGAAACAGCTTTCATGCACTACAACATTCTTTCAACTGTTTCTTGGAATTAATGGTTCACTTCACTAGCAGTAAGAACAAGAGCAAAAAACCTGAAGCAAAACTTTACTATTATCATGCTAGACAGAAACATTGAGAATATTTTTGGATACAACCTATAAAACCAAAAGCTGCTGAAATATTTCATATTTTAACTTTTCCAGAAGCCAAAGAATATTTCCATATAATACTCACAGGACTGGAAATACACAGGCATACATATATATAGGGCTTCAATGTATGGTTACAGATAGAGTTGTAATTTTGAATACTGAAACTCAGAAACATTCAAAATCACAGAAGGATGAGCATGCAGTCTCCCCAGATTACAGGGGGGAATTTATTTATTTAATTTTCAAATTCAGCAATACCTAGAGTAAAAAGACATTCTTAGTTCTATTATTACATGCAATAATCAGAATTTCAGTGGGATATAAAAAACGTAAGCCTACTAGAGTTCACCTAACTAGCCATAACCCAAACAGCCAGTTTGAGCTAAATAGGTTGAAACAGCTTGCACATAGAATTTTGCTATGTTTCAAGCTGAAATAGAAGGTCTTTCTTCCCAATGTGACACACATTATTTCCAGGATTTTGTATGTAGCTGGAAGCATTTAGACAGATTCTGTTTAGCAGCTTCCATTTACTTGGTGCCTTATCAGGTCAAAACATATTTGTGCACTGCATCATTGATGATGTCAGCACTGCTCTGGGAATAGTTAGTTCATTAGTTAATTGCTGCTGCAGAGCCAGCAGGGAGGCCCAGAATACATTTTATAGATACAGCAATACAAAAATAGTAGATTATTACAGCTCTGCAATGCAGTACTGATATAAACCACTTACATTTATAGATTTTTAGAGGGTGTATTCCAACAAAACGTGAAAGTTTTAAGGGTGATCAAATACTCTAGCATCACTTATTTCAAATACAATTCTATCTAATTTACTTAAGCTACTGTGATTAAAAACTTCTTTTGCAACTCCTACCACATCCCACAGATGCAAAATATTCCAAGCTGGTAATTTGAATTTGAAAGTATGAAGTTGATGTAACCCCACTCAGCATCTCACAAAACCCAGTACATACGAAATTGTGTGTTGTGAGTGGCACATTCTCCAAAACTTCCACATGCAACTCCTCTCCTGTGAGCCAGGAAATGTCTGTGTCCCAGCCAATTGGCTTCTTCTCTCTAAAGTGCAAATAAGCCTGTCATTAGCATCAGCACACAAGCCCTTACATGTCTCCTGCCAAAGTTGTGAGATCAGCAAAAAAGTTACACTGTGGGGGGTTGCTACCCAGTCTAATTGCAGGAAACTTTAGAACATGACCCTAGGCTCAGTACATAACACACAAAGCACACCTTCCCTGGCAAACTGCAGGAAGGAAATGCACTTTTTCTATCAGCTCCAGTAGTGGCCAGTTCCTTGTTTCCTACATGGCAGATGGCTTTTTGATCAAATAAAGTGTTTGTGAAAGTACCTGTTGTGTTAGAGTTCCACAGAGATAGCTAATTGTGCACATGAATATACAAATTTTTAGGGCTGAAAACTCTTTTTTTCCTCCCAAGGGAACTCTGTCTTTCGTTAAGAATGCATTATAGCCAAATGAAATAAAACCAAGAAGTTAACACAGCCTATTTAATACTTGTTTGGTTAGCATGAGTTTAATTAAATGAGTGGTTTACCATAATTTCATATTACTGAATATTATGCCTGAGCCTTTTCCTAGGAGTTAGACATTCTTTTCAACATGTCTGCAATGTGCAAATTGCTTAGCGCAAAGTACCATAAAATTCTGAACTTTGTAAACAACCTCAGGATAGAACTGGCCATCCTGGGTAGCTCCAATAATTGATTCTAAGAGCAAAAAAGCATCCCACAGAAACCATACCCATCTTGTATTCTGTAAACAGCACAGCATTCTGGAATAAGACCTCTCATCATCAGCGCTTTTTTTAGGCTGTCTCGGACTGTCACTCCACATCTTGCTGGAACCTAGAGGTCAAATACAAAATTAGTTAAAACAACTTCCAATTTATCCCCCAAAATGGATGCAAGCATTTTGACCCTCAAGTGCTAAAACCCACTTTTCAGGTTGCTTTACAGAATTGTAGGTCAGAGTTATCCAAAACCTCTTTCGTACTGAGAAAAATTTTATTGCTGAATAGTCTATGAGAAAAAACGCTCAGCTAGAAGAGTCAGCAAGCTCTACACATCTATTAACATTCAGAACAGAATCTTCACTCAACTCCAAAAGTGAATTTCCAACTTTCTCAATTGGAAGAAATTGGAAGCACAGCACACAGATAGCTAGTAACTACATACAGCTTTAACTTCACAGGCTGGCCTGAACATAAGTGGGGAAACATGCCAAGTGAAATTAAGTGAAGGAACTAACTTGGACTGCACTCAAAAAAACATTACTATAAAATGTAAATATTTTATTTTCTATTTCTAAAACAGAAGATAAGCATGCAAACAAGTGAAACAAAACAGTCATCTGACTCAGGCAGACCATCACCCCTCACTTTAACCTATAGCTGTAACTCTACAGATACGTCTTATATGAAAATATATTGCTTTCTTCTGTTTCCTGGCTTGAAAAGTTTGGATAACTAACAGGATAGGAAGAATGGAGGAGCACATTAAAACTAGCCAAATCAAGAACTCCATACTATGTATTTTCCTCACTTCTCTTCTAATTGTAGGCATATCTTATATGAGTAAGTAGATCATCTCTAGGTATACCTGTGCTTTAACAACATATAGTGTCAAGCATAATCACCAGATCATGTATTCTTTTTTAAGTGTAGTTAAGGTATTGAATATTATGTACTAACTATTTTTAGAACTCAGTAGTGAAAATATGTAAGCCTTCAGGCACTGTACACATTGGGATATCACCTATAATCACAGACAGTACCTTGAACACAAATCAGAAGAAAAACCTACAAAATTAACAAACCTGACAAGTCTGTCTGAACACCTGAAACTCAAATCTAGCTTGCAAGTGGCTTAAGCCAGAGCACTCAGTAGCCAAAAGCAGTCTTTTAATCAGCTTCAGCTGGCTTTGGATATGAGCCTAGTTTTTGTTCCCTGCATTTAAATTTCCATGGGTATTTAGGGGTTCTATGTCCTACTTAAGCATGATAGTGCAAAGTAGCAGCCTGTTTCAAGTAGCTTTGTGAACACTACTTGAGGTTACACTAAACAGCATTTCTGGGACTCAAACATATGCACTTTCAGAAGACACAAAGGAATATTTTGCTTCATCATCTTCCTCCCATTAACATGAGAGGGCCTCTTTTGAGGATATTTGTGCATTTCATCTGGTCAACACAAGCATTTAAAAAAAGATTATTTTTATGAATTCCTTGAAGAAACCATCCTATAGCACACTACTTTACAGTCTTGACATTCAGCCTTAGGTGACTTTGGTTTACACATTGTATTCTTTTTTAATACATCTTTTTATTACTCTAAGTAACTCCTTAGAAAGGAACTCCTTTCTCCAAGGATGGAGGGTGTGACTCAAATTATTTTATACAAATGTTGAGTCTAAATTATGACTGTTGTATTGATACAGCAAAACATCTATTAAAGATTTGTCTTGACCTGCAAAGGTGATTAGAAATTATAAGTGAAGTTGTATTATAAATTCTGTATTATGTTACTTATAAATTACACAACATTGATTCTGCTTGTAGAACTCATTGCTATTCAAATAATACATTCTGTGCTATGCTAATCATAATATCTTGCTAAGAAAATAACTCTTTAATTGTCCCTATGATTTAATGCTACCATCATTCTGCCAAAGACCCCTAAAAGAACCTGTCTGTCCTCTCAGTGTCCTTCTCCGTGCCTCTAACATAAATATTTACAAACAGAGAGAGTAAAATAAATAGAGAGTAAAATATTTTTAAGAATCAGACTGAAGTTTCTGAGCATTTCAGGTGTGCTCCAACCTCCCCCACACATTAGATCTGCTCACAAGCCATTTTGATGGACAAAGCAAGTGTTTTTTGGCTCAAGGCTATTTTTCCTACAAGTATAGCTCCTGCTGGATCGAGGTTGAGTCCCCACAGACAATTCAGGACTACCTTCCCAGCAACCTCAGTCACTTCACCACTGATATCCACAGTGGCAGAAGAAACTGAAATACTGCAAAGGTGGCAGGCAGAAGATGGAGACATAAAGGGGAATGAAAAGAACAGAAAAGAGGTAGGGCATGAAGAAGAAATGGGAAAAGAGGGTCAGGACAAACTTCAAGAACTGAACATGCAGGGAAAGCATGTGCATAGTGGGAGAGGGAGTTGTGATCAACAGGTTGGTGGGAATCAAACAAGCAAAACAGAGGGAGGACAGACTAAAGAGCTGAGGCTGAGGGCAGGAAAAAATGACATGATGAACCACCTTGCAGGGAGAACTGTTTGCCAAGTACATCCTGAATAGGAAGCTTTTAAGCTGTGATTGGGAGAACAGGTGGCTTGTTTTGGACAAGGACTATCAGGGGGAAGGAGATGCCTAAGAGCAGCAATAGAACCCAGCACAGAGTAGGAGGAGGTTCTAGCTTAGGCAGAAGACTCCAACGGGGTTAAGTATTAAAAGAAACCAGGTTAGTAAAATCTTGACATGTGTGAGGGAATGGAACGGACAAGGAGGAAAAGTCAAGCAGTAGGAAGATTACTAACATTAAAGAAGAGATAAACAGTCTTGCGGTCTTTGGAAAACATTTTCTTCCTCCAGCACTGATCCTCCATAAATGATGACAACATACTACAGTAACTCATGAAGCAAGGAAATGGTTGGAACCTGAAATCAGAAACCTCAAAGTTCCAATGCTATTAATTAATTAATTACACCGGTGTAATTTTTTTCCTTTTACTTTTTGTCAACAACAAGATTTATGAAGTTACAGGGTTTCTTTTAAGAGATCAATAAAGTTGGAAATATAAACGCAAAATCTGGGAAGTGTCAGAATGAAGGTTGCCTACAGCAACAAAACTGCAATAGGACTACGAAAAATGTGCATTAAACATCCTGCTCACTAATCATTTGCTATTCCTCAGTATTATTATCCCAAGTCCCCTTCGTTAAAATCCAAGCCATATTTATGCAACTTGCAATTAGAAACATGGGTAGAACATTTGTTCTCTTCACTGCCATTTGCATCACGATCTAGCTAAAATCCAAAGAACTGCTTTTATTACTTTCAAAAACCATCATGATCCTGAATCAGCATCACATTTAGAACATTCTCTTACAGAACTCCCAAGCAGAGAAACATAAGGCCAAATTAAAAGAACTTAGGTGCTAGAATAAGTCCCTGTAGTATTGATTAATCATTTTCCCAGACGGGTACAGCATGGTCTATCACCATCTGTGCATGTAGCCCTTCAGCCCCCTCCTTCAGTCCCTACTAGCACCTGCTGTAAAGCAGAAATCTTACCCTGCAAAGCATTCCCTCTGAAACCTCTTTTTGTCCCCAGCTTTTCACCTCCAAATTATGGCAAAGTTAAACAAAAAGCTGGTTCCAACAAAGTGATTTGCAAACCAACTCAGTCTTTAGAAAAACAAAACCCCAAACCAGTTCTTTTTTCCTGACTAACAGACTCCTGCTGACTCCAAAGCAGGAGTTTTGGAACAGCTTCTTTTTCAGCCCCAGGCAGAGGGAGGGTGTGTGCCCCCCCCAGGCTGGGAGGGGAGCAGAGGGCAGGAGCCCCACACAGTTCGGCCCCCGAGTGCCTGCCAGGATCCAGCAGCTCCAGCACGGCAGGAAGGCACCAAGGAGGGTTTATCAATTCCATCAAGAGTTCTGCCAAGATTCCCACAGAGCATTTTAACTGAATCACATCAGCATTTTTTAACAAAATCAGTTCCCCAGGAGAAAAATTTCTCATCTACTCCAAAATACACAGAACTCTTATGCCTGCAACCCAATACACTGAACAAAGTTGGCATTTTATTGAAACATAGAATGTTTGATATTATTTAAAATCCACTTTGTTTGCACTGATCCATTAACTCTTGATCCCTTTGTTTTATAACTAAGGGAATCCAAATGTATCACAATGGTTACCACCTAGAAACTCATGTTACTGAGCTAGGGGATGTACTTCTAAATTGTGATTGTTAAGGGCTTTCTTTGTTAAGGTTACTTATAAACATAAGATTTGTAGATCAGAAAAGACTTAGGTTTTTATAGCAATTAGTAAGCTGATTCAGCAAGCAACTTTCAAAAGTGAAGAATATGAAAGTGTGGGCCATGTAACACTAAGAAACAGTACAGAAGCCACTAACACAGACTGCAAGATGTCTTCAGTGTGTAGATTAATAATATACCAGAGAAGATAATTTACTTGAGCATCCTAAATTGGGTAAGTAGCAATTCAGGGCAACACCAAAACACATACTTAAGTTTGCAAATGTTAAGCCCCAAGGAAAAAAAATTGAAAATTATTCCAGATTGCAGAAATTCTCAAAGCAGTTGTTACCACCTAGACAGATTAAACAGAACTATAGCCCTTAATAGCCTCATTTCTTTTACTCACCTTAACTATTTCTGGGGACAGTAAGTATTTGCAACAACATTATTGATATATATTTAGTACTGCAGCCACAAGTATTTAAGCAATGCATAATAAATCATTTATTTCTGTAAATCAGGTCATTCCCAATTCAGTAAGAAATTCAGGGCTACGTCCCTAAATAACTCTTACATCACTTTTCTAGCATCAGACTAGAAACTGGCAGAGTCTCAGTAATCTAAAAATGCTTCCTTACACCACTCTAGTTTCCAATGTTTTAGAGCAATAAATAGACTGAGAATTACTCCCAAAAAAGCAATGCAAAGGTATTCTCTGGAAGTAGAAAGGCTAGTCAGCCCTGAATATCTGGTATTATACATCTCAAAACTAGTTAGCTGGCTTTATTTTTCCCTCAGCCTAACACTGTCATTCAGCTCATTTTGGCAAAGTGTAACATATGTACAG